AGTACGCCTAATTTGTTGCTCTCCATGGGAATGGGCGCGCTGGATTGTGACGCTGCGATTATGGTTCTGTAATCGCTCACTGGGAAGGCTGTTGACAAAATAGTTTAATGTAATTAAGTTGTAGATCCTGTAGTTTCGGTAAAGCAGGATAAGACCACTGCAACTGCTCCCGTGGATGTCGTAAGATAGGTACGACTAAGGGACAAACATCAGGCCTTCCCAACCCGCCTTGCACGTGTGGGAAGTGTAAGCCAAATCCTCCATTTGCCTCTGGTAAAAATTCCTTCTTAGCGTGCATCAAATTTTGATCAGTTGTTTTTGTAAAAACAAACATGCTATTATAAAGCAAGCGAGTCTAGCTTGTTACGTGCAATGTACTTAAGTAGGTATGTAACGGCCGAATACTGAAACGCTACTCAAATCTTTCACTCAGCTGACGGGCTCCTAAATTTAAGTATCCTTCAATTTTAAATGGTATTCTCAAACGCCACTCAATGGATTTGAAGCCGTGATCAGCTAAGCAGCTCTCAAATGTTTACATAATGGCAACATTTACCAAAAAAAGTATGTTTTCATTTACACAAATGATAACTTTGCGTTTTTTATCCATTACACGCAGCATCGTTTGTTTATGTATTGTCTTTTATGGAAATATACTCAATCAACTTAACATAAAACAGTTTATTTTTAGTTTCTATTATATATAAATCTCGTTTTGTCATATAAAAAAATTAAGCTTGCATTTTTATTTAATTAAACAAATAATTTTAAACGTGATACTTTTTATTGTTGAAATCTATTAAGTGGCGATCGTGGACCGAAACGTAACCACAATTGACATTTATCATTGTTGACAGCAGAGCATCAAATTGACAAATCAACAACTCTTGGAAATGCTGCTACTTATGCGATGTCCCCTTATTCCTCAGAAATAGGCATGTTTATGTATTGCGATTTCATAGCAGCTATTTTGGTTGTTACTTCGTGCACTATACGATGCACAGTTGGCTGTTAGATGTGGAAGATATCACCTAGTACACGTTATTAACTTCCCGTTGCGTAGAACAGTAGGGCATAGAGTCAGTAGGGTTATAATAAGTATTTGGTCCACTGGTTGTATGGCGTTTGGTGAGGGGTTTCAAAGAGCTTCCAAATTATGAATCCAGAAACAACACCGTTTCTTTAGAGACGCGGAACCTCGCTCGGAATTGCATGTCATTATAATAATATTTTTCAATAGCGTTCAGCCTTATTGCGTTCCTGCGATTACTTAGATCTAGGTATTTCCTCAAGGCTCGAAAGAAATGATAACGATGACACACATTATTTACCACTATTTAGGTCGATTTAGGTATAAGAATAGGATTTAAGATACCGGGCAAGCACTCTCAAATTTAACAGCTGCTTAGGACGATTTGACAGTTGTTTGAGTAATGCTTAGGGTTGAATGGCGTTTCAGTATGCGAAAATTCATTTGAGTGGCGTTTAAGTGCAACTTAATTTGAGAGGTGCTTACAAATTGAGAACTGCTCAGATATTGTTTTGAGTATGCGAAATGTAAGTTTAGGAGCTGCTTAACTATTTGAGAAGCCGTCAAATATTTAAATGGCGTTTCAGTATTCGGCCGTAAGTAATTGAAATTGAACTTGTTGTCCTATAATTACTTCAAGCTGATCGCTTAATTATTTAACAGCAGCTACCCTCCACAAGTGAAACTAGTTTTACGGCCGAATACTGAAACACTACTCNGACCACTGCTGGAGGGTTGATGGTCGGCCTGACCACTGGAGGGTTTTCCGTGAAGTGAGTCGGGTCCTTGTAGCATCGAAGTACGCCTAATTTGTTGCTCTCCATTGGAATGGGCGCGCTGGATTGTGACGCTGCGATTATGGTTCTGTAGTCGCTCACTGGGAAGGCTGTTGACAAAATAGTTTTATGTAAATAAGTCGTAGATCCTGTACTTTCGGCAGCAGAATATGGATCACTCCTTCCGTGGATGTCGTTTATGAGGAACAAACATCAGGCCTTCCCAACCCACCTTGCATGTGTGGGAAGTGTAAGCCAAATCCTCCATTTGCCTCTGGTAAAAATTCCTTCTTAGCGTGCTTCAAATTTGGATCGCGGGCCAGTTGTTTTTGTAGAAACAAACATGCTATGTAAAACAAGCGAGTCTAGCTTGTTACGTGTAATGTAGTTATGTATGTAAGTAATTGAAATTGAACTTGTTGTCCTTATAATTATTTCAAGCTGATCGCTTAATTATTTAACAGCAGCTACCCTCCACAAGTGAAACTAGTTTTAGTATGGCATCGTATGATTACTCACATCTCTTTTTGTACGTGGCTTGATACATTGTGATCATTTTGCCGTCTAGGTCGTCGCATGGGTGGTCCAATATGTCGTTGGTAACATCCACCATCTAGAAAATGCAATTATTCAGTATTAAATTTTTTAATGACAGTACACACGCCAGCACATCAGGTTACCCATTTTTGTTGCAAACTCGCCCCTATTACAAATGCACAAGAACCCACAGTGGTAACGTTGACGTGCCGTCATCTGTACATATTCTACGGGGAATTCGGTTTGGATTTCTAAGGAATTAACAGATTTTGAAATAAGTAAAGCAATATATGGTAGAGAGCCTAAAGATATGGGATAGTTCGATTAAACGCCGATAAAAGCAAACCCATGGACTGCAGCTATCATTATGAAACCCACGTGGTATTTTCAGAAAATACCACTTTTCTTTTTTGCCAATTTTAAAATCACTAACAATCTACGTCCGTTAGGGACTCGTTACCTGCTGTTACAATGCAACATGTTTTTATTAGTACATAACAATAAATCTATTGTCCATTGTCGTTTCGCTAGGCCTGATTGTCCCGAAACTGTTTTATGTAGGGAAGTAGATAAAATATAGTTAGATAATGCCGTCATACTTCACACTTAACGGCATCCCAAACCCAAAACGAAATAATGATGACTAATTCTGTCAACTTGCTAATGGCTAATTAAGTAAATAAAATCAGGTTTGAACAAGGATTTGTAACGGTAAATCGAGTGAGTTAAACTACATTTATAATTAATAGGTAGATACTTAAGTTGAGTAATATCTTGTTACCTATCGACGGGCGGCGCAGGACCGGTCTTTGTGGAAATCCTTGGGGGAGGCCTTTGTCCAGCTGTGGACGTCATTCAGATGAATTAAACGCACGAACGATACCTATTGAATGGAGACCAAAAAACTAAAGGATTTTCTACTCCTTTATGTAGTCCTTTGTTACTTTTGTAACACCACCACGTTATAGCTGTGGGTCTAGACAAAGTGCACATTATAATCGCAAACCAGTCGAAAAGTGGTCGAAATTAAGGCTTTTGTATGGAGTTTTGATGGATTCGATTTTCGATTCCATCAAAAAGTGCAACTTGTCTAGGGGGGCTGATCGGTAGGCTCCAAGACTAAAATATGCGACATCGTCCTATCTTCTCATCTAAAGGTCAGCCTCAGCCAAAGAACTACCTACTACCTGAACCTACCTGTCTCCTCAACTGCTCATAGTCCTGGCACAGCTTCTGCTCCTTCTCCAGCAGTTGTTTGTACTGCTCCACTCTTGGGGAGTAGGAGTGAGCGTCGCAGTGGCAGTACGGAGCCACCGGAGCCGGGCGGATGGTCGGCGCTGCAGAAGGACTGGGAGGCTCGCATGGTCTGGCAACATTGAGGGAGAAAATGACGGCCAATAGACGTGGGTCTAGACGAGGGTCGTTTTTAAAAAAAAACACTCGTGCAGCTGTAACTAGAATTTGAGCCTTAAAATTAAACTAAAAAGATTATCAATTTCTTACTGTCCGACAACTAGATAGGGTGAAAACGGTTTTTTAAAATGCCGTAGAGACGGAATAATAATGCTGAACATTCACAACTTAAAAACTTTGCTATGTAAAATTTTTAGGAGTTTTCTGACCAAGTCAAACAAAGTGATAGGAGAAAATAAATCAATGGATAAGACAGATTACCTAATTATTATCCTGCAAAGACTTTGTTTTACTTTTTTTTTATCTTTTTACTATGTGTAAAAGCTACACTCACTTGCCGACGATAGGTTTTGGAAATGGCCACTGGTAGTCTGTGTGGTTGGCCGTCGAAAAATCATCCATTGTTGTAATTATGTACCTAGGAGCAAGACAAAAAATACAACAAGAATAATACCACCAGCAATACGCACTAAAGCTCTATTGAACAGTAATAAAATTTGCTCGTATTTGTGTATTTATCTCAGTGATCTTTTGTCAAATAATGTCAAAACTGAAGCTGTTTACCTGGTTTCAGTTTATTACGTTGATATTTTTAAGATTTACGATTACTATTTTCGCTAATTGACACCCTACATAATTTAGAATAGCTTTAGAAGCCAAAAATTTGATCTGTATTAAAATTTCTTCAATGAGGGAAGATAAAAACATTTTTGACGTTTTTTCCCTTTTTTTTCTTCATGAATAATGACATTAATCCAAAAATAGTTTTATTTAACTCATCAGATTTTTTATTTTAATTTCACATGCTGCTCGATGGGTAACATAATATTTTTATTCTTCTAGCAACTCTGTTTTAAACGACGTCAAACATTTCACCCACACCTTTTTAGATGCAAGATGTTTGAAGTTGTGAGATGTGGCTATCTCACTCTAGCGCATATAAATTTTTCTTTAGCGGAATGTTTCATACCATTCACACAGAAGGCTCTTCTTTTCAAAAGGGTTATAGCAATGTTGCCATAAGAAAAAACTTTTACCTACAATGGGAAATACTTGCGAGATTTTTTAATACTTTTAAGCATTTCATAAGACATAATACGAGATTTTTTTTTTAAATTATTCCTATTTATTCCAGATCTTTTTTAACACGAAAAACAATAAATGGGCAAAATTGCTTTAAAATACCGCAGAGTAATTTTTAAAAATGGGAAACGCATTCTCCTAATCTTGCAACATCAGTATGTTTTGCTGTCAAAAGTCAAGTCATCAAATCAGCTGTGTATCACACAGAGGGAACATGTAATAATAAATGTGCGTATTAAAATTTTGGTGTGAAAATGTCCACTGAGACAATTGATAAAAAAGCAACTCAATGTTTATGATAAATTCACGGCCCAGTAGACATGGCGCGGCGGAGGAGCAGCGGGATCACAAGCCTGGGCTTTAACCAGAATCAAGGTTTGTAAATACTTCCTAGTTCGTCAACCTGCGTTCTTTGTTCTTTGGTTGGTGCATTATTCATGATGTGGATGACTAGGACGTTGTGGTGATGGGTTAGTGGAAGGTCAGGAGGGTTATAGTGCCAGCGTGAAGCGTTTCGCGATGCGTCGAAGAGGGTAACGCTTGGGACTCGGGAGTCGCTCGGAGCCACGCTGTGCGATGCACTCAGACACGTGTTGTTTATATTTTTAGTAGCGCCCACGCGCAGTTTCGTTCCTTGACTTAGCACACTATTGTTTGGGCGTTGGTTTTGTTTGTCGTTTGCGGATAGTTACGCATTAATTTAATGATAAATAAAGACGTAATACCTTTCGCTCTTTCGAGAATGTATGATGTTTTCTCCTCTAAATATTTATCAATACAATAACATGCTTGTCTTTTAGACTGTCATACTTTCAACTAAAGTATTGTATGTTAATTCATCTAGGATCACAATATTTATAAACAACACAGTGTCCATAACAATATTGTTTTCTTCGTAAGAGATAACAGATTTTAGTAGTCATTTGGTTTCTGCTGTCGAAACCATTAATGTATTTATTAGTTTACATAAACGCCTTTAAATATAGGAAATAATAAATGCAAATAATTCTACACCTCATGATTAAATGGTAAGGTAAAGATCACATGGTATTTTTACTAAATTGACTTCAAAACATGTGTTGAATTAAGTTTGTAAATGAGTTTTTTTCCACTCGAATTACTCAAGTAACAAATATTAATTCTATAAAGATAAGGGTTTTGAGATGTTTCGTAATGCTACCATTTTGTTTGCAGACTGCTTCACTTGCTGCCTAAGATCAGGCCTGCGCGTTTACAATGTTGAACCACTTGTGGAAAAGGCCCACTACAGTAAGTTTATTTATTTGTTTGATGCTCTTTTTGATTTCCTGGAACTCTAGGGTATTAATAAGACCACTTCAAAGAATGGAATGGCATTACATTTTTTGTTAAATTCAACAATTTTTTTCGACTTATTTTTTCATACGAAATTATTTAAAAACTTAATTTTTCACTGAAATAATTCATAATTTACATACACTAAACAATAAAAAGTCTGCACAAAAAGACTAGGTGACAATTTTGAAAAAAAAACTAGATTGATGATACTATAATCTAAATCAACTAGGTATCTTCTAAATCTAGAATCCACAATATCTTCAAAAATATGCTTTTAGAAACACATATTCCTAAGACTCTATGGAAAACAAAATGAGCACGTTGTATATTGATGTAAAAATGACAATAAAAAAATTTTTTTATGTGAACTGTTATGTGGGTATTTTAGACTCATATCTATGTTACGGTATTTACTCTGTGTGTAACGGTACTCAATATTAATAAGTGTGAAAATTTCTGATGCTCATAATAACAAAACCGGAGGTTTTTTAATTGAATTCTACAATACTGAATGTATTTAAAAATTAAACAGGCTCTATCTGAGTTGCAAATACTTAATATTATACTACTCTCATTATCACTGATGTGTTACAAGTGCAAAAGTATTTTTTTTAATTATCAGCACTTTCTAAACTTGCTGTAGAACTGATTATAACTTTGTTCCTCAGAGTTCATTTAATACAAACTTGTACAACAACACTGCAATACTGAAAATACCTTTTTTCAGATTATTACAAGAACTGGTTAAGCTGATAATTAGCCGGTCAACTTTTACTTTTAAATATTTCATTTTTAGGGAAGTTTTGCAACCACAGTATTTTTATACTGAACCACAGTAATAATAAGAACATCTGAAGACATTCTTTTTAAGTTTTCTCTAGCTATTTCATTTTTTATGATTGATTAAGTAGTAAGGGTTGACTTTTTCATGGTATTTTTTTGTAATATTATTTAAATATCTTTACCGATATATTTTTTTTTTAAATGGGCTAGAAAATATAGTTTAGTTTATTGATGCATTCAACTGAGAACTAAGTTTTTTTTGCCAGTTTTCTCAGTAGTATCAGCCGTTATATTGTCCCAAATGGTAGCAGGCCAAGCTATATGCGGTCGTGCATAAATGCCCCGAAAAGGGCCCACATACTTTAGCGCTTAACTTAGTCAGCGCCTGAGGTATGGGAGCGTCACGGGAGGGTGTTTTTGGGACGTCAAATGTCATCAATGATGATGATGATGATGACTTATCATCATCATTCCAGCCACATGACGTCCACTGCTGAACATAGGCCTCCCCCAATGACTTCCAAATCACCCGGTTGGTAGTGGCCTGCATCCAGCGCCTTCCTGCTACATACCTCCAACGTCAGCGAGACTTTAAATGTGATTCAGTGGGTCTAGACAAAGTGCAAATTATAATCGCAAACCAGTCGAAAAGTGGTCGAAAAGCCCCTTTTTTGTATGGAGTTTTGACGGATTCGATTTTCGATTCGATCAAAAAGTGCGTTTTGTCTAGGGGGGCTGATTTGTATGCTCTGTCACGTCATAACATGTCAACGTCATCCTTCCCGTGCCGCTCCCATAGCTCAGGCACTCAGTTAAGCGCTAGGTCTATAAAGAATAAATGGATTCCGCAGGCAAAGAAGAGCTGGGCGAGGTGTCGCTATGCGAGATGGTATTCCGCAGCAACTTGCTGCTGCTCGTGAAAGCGCGGCGACCTTGCAGCCTGCTACTGCTGGATGACCAGCGGCGCGCCTTCAAAGCCGAGGTGGCTTTCAAGACGCCCATACGTGCGCTGCGAGCTAGGCGGGACAAGTATGTACCATCAATACCATCATCATTATTATTTCAGCGAATGACAGTCCAATCCTGGAAGTCTTCTCCAAGGAACACCTCAAAAGAACGACCCCCAGCCTTTATCATCCCGTCATTACCAGTTATCCACTTCCATCAAGTGAGCGTTATCCCATCGAACAGCCTCTCCCTTGCGACAACCCGTTTACGCCAGTTTTCGTCGGTTCTCCGAAAAATGGCACACAATGCGCGATCTCTTGCTTCTTTCGTCCAGCCAAGGAACACCTCAAAAGAACGACCCCCAGCCTTTATCATCCCGTCATTACCAGTTATCCACTTCCATCAAGCGAGCGTATATCCCATCGAACAGCCTCTCCCTTGCGACAACCTGTTTACGCCAGTTTTCGTCGGTTCTCCCACAAACAGCAACATAATGCACGATCTCACGCCTCTTTCATCCAGCCACTATCAAGCTATGTCCTTGAGGTCGTCAGTCCATCTTGCAGGTGAAGGTAGGTACCTGGTATTCCGCAGTAACTTGCTGCTGCTCGTGAAAGCGCGGCGGCCTTGCAGCCTGCTACTGCTAGATGACCAGCGGCGCGCCTTCAAAGCTGAGGTGGCTTTCAAGACGCCCATACGTGCGCTGCGAGCAAGGCGGGATAAGTATGTATCATTATTATTCCAGCTAATGACAGTCCACTTCTGGAAGCCTCCTCCAAGAGACACCACAAAACCACGATCTTCAACTTTTTACATCGCCCCTGTCAATTCAGCTTGAAGTGCTTTTTTGGACTATCTATTATTTTGGTCTTGCCGCATGACTTCGTTCGAGATTTGGTCCCATAAAGAGTTAGGTACCAATCATCATCCTTTAGCTTCCTCCCTTAATATAACCATATAAGATTTTTAAAAACAAAAAACATACATAACTATGGCTGTAAAACACAGCGGTAGGCCTAGTGATTCAAATAGCGTTCATTGAATTTAAATCACAAATCTTCGCCCAGTTACAATTAAACGGCCTTCGTAGGCATTATGAAGCGGAATCCGATGGGCCAAATCGGTTTGTTTATTTCGGGTCGGCGTGTTTTCTAAACATACAGCCAGTATGAAATAGCTTCAACAACATTTGCTCCCTTCGTTCGGTCGTTTCAGCCAAATGACGTTTACTGGACAAAAGCACAGTTTCGCACTGTTGGACAAACTGGGCATAGGCGGGAATGTGGGTAAAGGTCGCTATACCGGCTCTTCCCCTATGCTCAGAAAGAAGGACATTCGTAGTTGTTTTAGTGGGTAGGCCTCCCCCAAGGATTTCCACGATAACCGGCTCTGCGCTGCCCGCATGCAGGACCATGTTCTTACCACGATTAACACCAGATCGTCGGTCTACCTGCGAATGTCTGCCTACACTACGTTTTCCTTTTTCTTCTTCTTGGAAACTTTTCTCAGCCTTCGGTTAAAAACCATAAATAATATTATGACCGCCAAGGTATTCGAATATTTTTGTTATGATTGCTTTGATATTGTTTCGCAGTTGGATTTAAAGTCATATATCGTGATAAGATAAGCAGCGACCTTCACCGAATAACCTAATATTTATTAACGACTACCACGTGAATTGTCTTATTTATGACGTGATTATGACTTTAATTTATGAATACTGTCTGGTCTTGATATGATTTTTATTTTTTGTCCATGTGCATGCGGTGCATTGTAAAATCTTCGCATTTGATTAGCTGCGACTGGACTGGTAGCTGAAACAATATCATTAGGTATATTCTTTATTTATTTATTCTATTAGTATAATGTACTAGCTTTCCGCCCGCGGCTTCGCCCGCGTGGAATTTTGTCTGTCACAGAAAAACTTTATCGCGCGCGTCCCTGTTTCAAAAACCGGGATAAAAACTATCCTATGTTCTTTCCCGGGACTCAAACTATCTCTATGCCAAATTTCATCAAAATCGGTTGCGAGGTTTAAGCGGGAAAGCGTAACAGACAGACAGACAGAGTTACTTTCGCATTTATAATATTAGTTGGGATATTGTATTCACAGGTGTCTCATTCAGTCACTTGTTTTTCTTAGCATATCTTATGTTATTTACAAATATGCAGCACAAGATTACACGCCTCTAGCATGACCACAGATATTATAATTTTATTTCCCATACCAACTACTATTTCAATTTATTTTTACGACAAAACAAGCTACTTCTCCCCCATTCTCCCCGAGCTAACATATTTCTTAATCAAAATTGGTTCAACTGTGTAGGTGTGAAGACATTTTAACAAAAAAACTGCTTGTATTCTTGAACAATCAGTGATCAAAATATCACATCATGGAAGAATGTTTTCAAAAATATTTATATTTATCAGTGGGCTGAGTGTGAGTTTATATCAAAATGACATTAAATGTATGACGGATTGTACCTTTAGTTAGCGCCCTTAGCGGAAACTTTCAAGAATTAAAATTTTCATACCTTTTTTAAACGCGCTCACGTGAGCGCGTGCGCGTTTGATGTAAACTCACTCAGCCCTCAGCACTTGAAACCATACTTACTTATTTAAATTATTGCAATTGAAACAATTTTGCGTCGCAAATTATTTCTTTGTTTCTCTACGAATTGCGCCGTTTAGTAGGTACCTATTATGATGTTTTATTATAGTTATCATTACCTAAATTAAATACGGTTCTGTAGTGTTATTCTCGTGGGAACATTATTTCCTGTCTTAGAACAATTAACCTCATTTATCTCAAATTTTGACCCTGATATTATTATTAGTATGTATTTTACCTAAGTACTGGTGATTCATCATCAGTACATAATTATAGTGTACAAGTTATTATAACTGATTAGTGATTATGCGTTAATTATTTTATAGCATCTTATCTAATACGCCAACCTACCAAATCCATTTTATTCATAAAATAAATGATTGCTAGACAATTAGTATACAATAAGTTTTCCCCATATCCTCTTTTGTACAGCGTAGAGATTGATCAGTGTCATCATTCAAATATTTATGAAAAGTATACTCGATGGACTGCCGTTTCTTTGAATGTCGCGGTCGCCTATCTTATGGGGCAAGCCTTTGCCCAGCTGCGGACATCTATATTAGTGTAAAAGATTATAAAGACCATAAATAACTGTTCCTAACATTATTTAATAATTATTATTGACGGGATTGCTACCATGTACCTTAATTTCGCGTCAGATACTGTAAGTGTTGTGTGTCGATAACAGTTGCGAGAAAATAGTAAGTTGGTGAACGGTGGTACGGAAGGCAATCGTAATAAAAGACTGCGAAAGAGGGTAGACTTCCCTTCTATGATCTGAGGGGTAGACCGATATGTCTGCCCATAACTTCTCACCCGCCAGTTTCCTCAGTTACTCCGTGACCATATGGCGCTTATAACAATGCCGAAATATCGGAAACTCGAAATTAAGGTACATGGTAGCAATTCCATAAATAAATAACTAGCTTTCCGATTTTTTTCTGTCACAGAAAACCTTTAACGCGCGCGTCCCTGTTTCAAAAACCGGGATAAAAACTTCCCTATGTCCTTTCCCGGGGACTCAACTATCTCTATGTCAAATTTCATCAAAATCGGTTCAGTAGTTTAGGCGTGAAAGTAAGACAGACAGAGTTACTTTCGCATTTATAATATGAGTATAGATTATAGTGACCATGAAAGTTCAAAACAATATAACATTACTATAACATGAAACTGTTTCTACAGAGTGGCGGTCGTGCTATCATCAAGCATACAAGTGCTAACGCTGCCGTCGCTGCAGCGAGTGGCGCTCCTGCGCACACCGCAAGCCGCCCGCCCGCTGTGCGCGCTCGCTATCGAGCCCAACGCGGTGCAGGTGCTGGCTGCGCCCGCGCACAGGAAGGGCTCGCTGCAGATACTGGTACGTAGACATTGTAAATTAGATCTTAAAACAATAAACTGATGATCTATAGTTCAACTGCGCGCTCTGGATAAAAAACCCAATGTGGTAAAGTGTCAGATGTGCCCGCGCATATTAAGGGCTCGCTGCAGATACTGGTCATTACATTGTAAATTAGAACTTAATGCAATAGACTGATAGTCTATAGTTGAACTGTGCGCTCGCGATCGAGCCCAACGCGGTGCAGGTGTTGGCTGCGCCCGCGCACAGGAAGGGCTCGTTGCAGATACTGGTATGTAGACATTGTAAATTAGATCTTAAAGCAATAAACTAATGGTCTATAGTTGAAGTGTGCGCTCGCGATCGAACCCAACGCGGTGCAGGTGTTGGCTGCGCCCGCGCACAGGAAGGGCTCGTTGTAGATACTGGTACGTAGTGAATTATACACACACACAGTTCTTCTGAACTTATGGCAATAAACATAGCTCGGAGAGACGATGGCCGTTGGGGCAGGAAAGTTCTCGAGTGGCGACCACGGGCTGGAAGACGTAGCGTGGGCAGGCCTCCTAGGTGGACTGACGATCTGGTAAAGGTCGCGGGAAAAGCCTGGATGCGGGCAGCGCAGGACCGCTCATTTTGAAAACCTTGGGGGAGGCCTTTGTCCAGCAGTGGACGTTATTTGGCTGGAACGAACGAACGAATAAACTGATGGTCTATAATTCAACTGCGCGCTCGCGATCGTACCCAACACGGTGCAGGTGCTGGCTGCGCCCGCGCACAGGAAGGGCTCGCTGCAGATACTGGTGCGTAGACATTGTAAATTAGAATTTAAAGCAATAAACTGATGGTCCAATTTTAAACCGCGTACTCTCGATAAAACCTAACGCGGTGCAGGTGTTGGCTGCGCCCGCGCACAGGAAGGGCTCGCTGCAGATACTGGTACGTAGACATTCTAAATTAGATCTTAAAACAATAAACTGATGATCTATAGTTCAACTGCGCGCTCTGGATAAAAAACCCAATGTGGTAAAGTGTCAGATGTGCCCGCGCATATTAAGGGCTCGCTGCAGATACTGGTCATTACATTGTAAATTAGAACTTAATGCAATAGACTGATAGTCTATAGTTGAACTGTGCGCTCGCGATCGAGCCCAACGCGGTGCAGGTGTTGGCTGCGCCCGCGCACAGGAAGGGCTCGTTGCAGATACTGGTATGTAGACATTGTAAATTAGATCTTAAAGCAATAAACTAATGGTCTATAGTTGAAGTGTGCGCTCGCGATCGAACCCAACGCGGTGCAGGTGTTGGCTGCGCCCGCGCACAGGAAGGGCTCGCTGCAGATACTGGTAAGTAGTATACTATCATATCATTTTAGATCCAAAATGAGAGTAACTATTAGGCAATCTGTGGCTTGAGATTTAGCCTAGCCGCAGACTACAGACATTTTGTGAGCCGATAGTTGGGTCGGGCTGTTAATCAGTATGGTCATGTATGAAATTGCTCATACTGCACTGAGTTGGTATCGGCCGATCCCTCATACAAATTAGAATCGGGCGTAACTATCGGCCAACCACAACACAAGTCTGTGGTCTGCGCTTAGGCTTAGTGTAGTTTTGAGCGTCTCGTTCTGTACTGTAATACGTACCTATTATAACGAACAATATAAGCTTTTATGTCATATTTTTTTAACCGTGTATGGTACACGAGACGTGTCACTCTTCAAATTATTTTAACACTTTTATGGGTCTACCTACTCAAAACAAAACTACGATTGTTACCGTTAATCAAACCTGTAGCTGTAGCATTCATTTCTGTATATTGTGTCTAATTTCAGGACATATCCCGCGCAGTCAAAGGCGCTCAGTCTAGCTCGCCAGCTGTAGTGGGGTGCCACCAGACCGCTCTGGTCTGCCTGAGCGTGTCGGCAAACGGCGCCAAGCTGGCCACGGCGTCGGAACGCGGCACCATCATTCGGATCTGGGACACCACCAGCAAGCTTCTGCTGCACGAGCTACGGCGAGGGTCTGACTACGCGGATGTGTACTGGTTAGTAGCTTGGCAGTTCTTAGTGTCAGTATACAGAGTTTGTCCTCTAGAACCTCTCAATCAAGCAACGGCACATGGTAATATCATTCGCATATGGGATACCAATAGCAAACTCTTGCTACATAAGTTTAAGCGAGGGTCTGACTACGCGGATGTGTACTGATTAGTAGCTTGGCAGTTCTTTGTGTAAGTATACAGAGTTTGTCCTCTAGAACCTCTCAATCAAGCAACGGCACATGGTAATATCATTCGCATATGGGACACCACCAGCAAGCTTCTGCTGCACGAGCTACGGCGAGGATCTGACTACGCGGATGTGTACTGGTTAGTAACTTAGCAGTTCTATAGTGTCGGCCAACGGCGCCAAGCTGGCCACGGCGTCGGAACGCGGCACCATCATTCGGATCTGGGACACCACCAGCAAGCTTCTGCTGCACGAGCTACGGCGAGGGTCTGACTACGCGGATGTGTACTGGATAGTCTTAGCAGTTCTTAGTGTCAGTAGAAAGAGCTGGTCCTCTAAAGCCTATTAATCAAGCAACGGCAACGGCAAACTCGTACTACATGAGTTGAGGCGAGGGTCTGACTAGGCGGATGTGTACTGGTTGTAACTATAGTTCTGTTAACTTAACATTTTAGCCTAGGCGCAGACCACCGATTTTTAGTTGGCCGATAGTTGCAGATTTCAATTTGTATGAAGAATCGGCCAAATCAAATCGGTGTAATGCGCACTTCCATACATGCCCATACTGATCAACTGCCCGAATAAACTATCGGCCGACGAAAAATCGATGGTCTGCGTCTATGCTTAGGGTTAACAAACCAAGATGATTTGCTAGACCATGCTTGGTTCAATCATCTGAATACGAAACATCACCAACATGCTACGTGACCTACGGCGATGGTCTGATGTTTTGTTGGTTAATTTGTGAATGGTTTTTATATTATTACTGACTCGCACAAGATGCAAGACAGCATTGCATGCACGCCTAAATGTCATGTGCAAATCGTGAATATCAATCTATTGCGAACTTATGAATTCAACCTTTTCATGAATTCATGAGTGATAATGCGTCATCGCGTTCGCGTATAATGCGGTTTAAGTCGCAACCGTCGGTTTTGGTGACTCAGACCTCTCTTCGCTAATTTTAGTGTGCACAAAATTAATGTTACACTGCCTTTACATGGCAATTCTAAAGAAAGCACTTGACAGCTCCTTCTGTCTACAAGCTTTGCAAATACATATTCGAGTTCTATGGAATGCATTTATTGTTAAAATTATAAGCAATATGTGGCCTAAATATATGCGATGTTCGTGCATAAAGAGCGTAATTACACGTGCGAAAAATGTTAAGAAAAAGGCGCGGGACTTTCCGATAACAAATAAAATATCTCAATCAAAGTATCAATGTAACGATGACTGCACAAAAAGTAGGGTGCTTATGTCATTCCACGTCGTCATTATGACCCAGTTGGTCTACTGCCAAATGCCTGGGCGCCTATTGCTTTTATTTATTGACGCTGAAAGACAACAAACTTTCCGTGGAGAGATTGACGCCCGTATTCACAAACGATGCTTGCTTAAGTAGCAAATCGAACGCACACACCCTGTGCGTCCACGTGCACTGTAAGACCTCATAGCAGGCCTGTTCATCTCCGCGAGTTTACATCGAAAACAAAACACGCACTAAGGCCCACCTACAGGATATGATTCGACAAGGCCTCACATACGAGCGAACATTGACTCACGCACGCGTATTCTTGTGTATGATGGAAAAAATAAAGAAAATGGTGTACTAAATACTGTGCAGTATTTAACTGCCTAAAAAATAATAAAAACACAGAATGTACTTTTTTAAGTTGCCTCAAGACACTGAGATTTAAATAAGTAGTTAATATTATTCATGATAATTCATGCTAAATCATGTTTTTGCTCCGCCATTTTCCGCAGTTTGGCACCTCACGTCACATCATTTTACCGAAGTCAGCCCTATAGCTTCGGCGCAGTGCCGATCACTGACGTTTGTCAACAAAATGGTGCTTGACTCTTGAGACAGGCTAAATTACACCATATTGTTAATGACATTGAGAATACATTTTTTTAAATACCTTCGCGAAGTAAAACTTCTGTACGTAGTACTTATTATTATTCTGTGCTCATAGTAAGATTTGTGAATACGGGCGTGAGTGGAAATTTAACTTTTGATTAATTTTCCTTTGCGAGGTCGAATCAGAAATGAGGAGATCCGTAAACGTACAGTCGCTGACATAGCTCGACAGATTAGCAAGCTGAAGTGGCAATGGGCAAGGCACATAGTACGCAGAATTGAGAAACTAGGTTCTGGAAAGTGGAGGTCATGTAATGTCTTATAAAGATTGCAGGAAGCTTCTGGAGGAAGGCCACTTTCAACAGGCCTATCTAAAAACCATTGGGGGAGCCAATATCCCTCCCATCACCTTATGAACTTATGACCTTTTCAACTAAGCTAGTTTTGCGAATGACAGGATCGAACGTTCCCCGAACCTCAATGCGGCAGCTCTACACTATGAAGCGATTGACACCTCAATTGATTAAATGATAGTTGAAAAGATAATACTTTTATTTATGTAATACTTTCATTTTCCAGTATAAACTTCAACCCGTCCGGCTCGCTAGTCTGCTGCGTGTCGGACAAAGGCACGCTTCACGTGTGGGCCGCGCGCGGGTCCTACGCGCACCTCGCGTCCGCGTCCGCTGAGCCGGACACCCGGGCACNTCGTGCGTTATGCGCCTTCAGCGACGACGCCAACGCCGTGGGTGAGTCACACACAATATGTGGCCCCCCGTGGACCCCCGAACACAGCGGCCCCCCGCGGTTACTCGCGATATGTGGACCACGGACCCCCGAGGATAGCGGCCCTTCGCGGCCCCGTGTGCCTCCTGCCCAATGTGTTTTTCGCGGCAACAGCGTTGTGGGTAAGTACAAACTAGCTTCCACCCGGCCCAGCTTTCAGCGATGACGTCAAACCTTGCGCCCTACGTCCCAAAGTATTGTAACTTCCATAGCAACAGCATCGTGGGTGAGTATACAACTCGTTCATGGAAGATGCCAGCACCGCGAATAAGCGAAGTGATTAACGCCCGTATTCACAAACATTAATATGAGGTCTCACAGTACGCGTGGACGCACAGACAGGGTGACACACGAACCAATCACAGCTCTATTGAACGCTGTGCCTTCGATTTGCTGCTTCACCTAAGCAAGCATCGTTTGTGAATATGGGCGTAAATTAATATGAATAAGCACACATAGACCTTGCGCTTTGCGGCCCCCCATGGACTCACGCCCACTAAGCCTTTCTAGTGTTATGGGTAAGTACCTACTTACCAGCCCCCTGGTATCACGCGCCTGCAGCGATGAATGCAGAGTAGCTTCATCTCCCCTACTCTCGCCTCTTAGCATGCCCTCCACGACTCCTCCACTTACTTAAGAGCTGATTGTAATCAGCGGCATCCATGTTATTATTGGTAAGTGCATGCTTTCTTGCTTTACACGATGATGCGGTGTACTTCTTAGGCCCGGTTTCTACCAAAGCGTAGAGGAGCAGAAATGATAGATGTGTCGTTTTCTCTATAGGCGATAAACGGCGGCCGCGCGAAGCAGGGAGATATGGAAATAAAGAAATCTGATTGTTTATACAAAACACTTCTCCGCTACTCTCCGCTCTGCTCCGCCTCGGTGGAAACCGGGCCTATAGGTGAATTTTGAAAATTACTAAAAAAATTAACTAGCGTTTTTATTGTTTTCAGTGGTATGTGAAGATGGGACGTTCCACAAGTTTACTTTTTCGGCTGAGGGCAACTGCCATCGGAATGATTTCGAATATTTTTTGCAGGTTAGTAATTCATATTCTCCTCAATTAGAAAAAATAACAGCCAAATCATTTTTATGACTTTCATGGAACTGAACAGTGAATAAAAAGATTATAAAAATCATTTTTAAAATACATTTCTAATTATATTAAAATGTTTCAGGTTGGTGACGACGACGAATTCCTGCAATGATGTTTTTTTATACAAAAACTTTGCTGGACATTACAACCTTATCGGACTTACGTGCTAAGTGAAAGAACACTTAACCGCAAAATTTTTAACTCGCGTTTAAAAAGTGATCGCTATATTCTGTTATCCAATTATGGCGTGTATTTATGATACCTTGTGAACTGATTACCTCTCGCCAAAAAGTTATTTATAATATTGCATGCTTAAAAACTTTTTCAGAGGTAAAATTTTATGAAGAGGCAGCTAATATGGTATCGTTGAACTGTCTTCAGCAGCAACTCAACCTACTGCAAAATTATGATTTTAATTTGAGCGCAAAGTTGAAAATCTATTGAAAAACTTGTCATTTTGTGGTAGGATGATATGCTGGTGATCGTACTTATGAAATAAGTTACAGCACAAGGACACTTCAGATTCATACATCGAATCATGCTTTGTGTAACTATAGATACTACTTAAAATACTCCACTTCGTTTGGAGAAATTATTGCTAAATCTATCTAGTTATTAAGCACCGTGGCATGTTGCTCACGTATTATTTTGACCTGTACATATTTTTTGCCCATACATATTGTGTTCAATCTTAAAGTTGATTTAGGCTGAGTTGCACCACTTATTTTAACCGTGACTATAGCCATAACTGGTGTTTTTGTTTGAAGTTGACAGACTTGACGTTTGTTAAAGTTAAAGTGAGATGGTGCAACCCAGCCTTAACTAATTCACATTATTCAGCGTTATCTAGTTTGGGCTATTCGCATTAGTTATGTTATTGTCGGGATGGCAGTTCATCCTTTACTTTATTATAATGGACGGAGAAGTAGTAATATAAATCGTGATTTAGGTTAAAATTTAATGTTGTTATAAAAGACAAATGGTACTAAATTGCATTTTTAACATAGTATAAACAAACAAATGTTTGTGATGGAGTTGGAATATAAGAGATATAAATGTTGGTTTTGTAATTAAATATTTCTCGTGACATTTTTACGTAACCCAATGCTTATTGGTGTACCAAAGCCTAAAAGATTAGGGTTTGGTTGAAATGATAGTTGTGCGATTGGTTGCGATAGTTTCGAGTAGTTCGCTTAAGAAAGAATAATTTTTAAAGAAGATTTGTGTGATTGCACCACCAGTAACTTATACCACGGTCACAACTAGGTGGACGCAAAACGCGCAGATCCATATAGCTCGGCTTTGCGGAGCTTGATATTTACCAAAATTGCAGCTTGATTCGCGCAATTTATATATTATAATTATGAATGTATAAAAAATATGTTTGTGTTGTCTATAAAATTACTTTTTTTTAAATAATAATAATGATAAATCAGTAATTTACGGTACAATAAACGCATCTTTCTTTAAGCACCTATTTTATGTAAAATAATATGATGCAAATGTTACATAAAATCATTTTTTATGTTTCTTCGTTCATTTCCTGTATGGGCTATAATTTTTTTAATTTGATTATCGCTCAATAAAAATCTGTACCTTTATACATTGCTCATTTTAGTGATAATCTGGTTCTTATTTTATGTATAGTCTTCATCCTTTATATTGAATAATTTTAATTTATCGTTCCTTATAATACAAGATTTTAATAAAATAAATATAATAGTCATGCCTTTATATTGAGAGAATATTAAATAATTTTAATTTTCTTAGATATTATATTATTTACACAAAATATTCACACCATAGTATCAGTGAAAATTTTATGTAATGATCGACATAACGAATATTATGTAATTATGTAAATAATTAATAGCAACATATTATAGTTTTTATACTTTGTCAGTAGATTAATAGTAATGAATCATAATATTGTCTCAGCTTAAAACTAAAAATTCGAAATATAAATGAGAGGACAATTAGGCTAAAAAGGCACATTTCTAAATGTAAATAAGAAGTTTCAGATGTTGGTTTATTTTTTTATGAAATTGTAATTGAAACAGCATCTTCTGGTGATAGAGGTCATTGTACCCACAAAACTTTTCAATAATAAAAACTTCTTTTATATTTGGCTTTTCATTTATAATACAAATATTATATTTTTAATGGGATCTCCATTTAGAATTTAGATCTACATCTAAATAATCTTAATTTATACTTTTTTCATGGATGGGTGGTGTACTATCAGTCGAGCATACCTAATACCTACCTACCTAACTAGGTATTATTGGTATTATACAAAAATAATAACTGGAAATGGTTTTCAGAATTTATTGTTAACTAAACAATATCTAACAAAATTATAATACACTATTTACAACACTATTCCTATTCTGCTGATGGTTTCTTACGATCAAATGGATCTGACCAAACTTTCATATCTGAAACAAAGAAATTATTATAAATGAGATATGATGAAGATAACTATGTAATTAACATAATAACCGATAACTATGTAATTAATGTAATTAACAAAGATTTATTTTGTGTTTCGATTCACTGGGCTTGAAGGGTTTAGACAGGAATAACCAATAAAACAGACTGAGAAATATCTAAAAACTAAATATTACTCTACCATGGATGGATAAATAAAACTGGCACTGTGCCCTTCTTTTCTAAAGTACGGCCAACCAGCAGCGATACAAAAGGTCGAGATGACTGTCGAGTTGACAATATATTCTGTCTCTTCCCATCTTGTGTATTTGTCGTAATGTCTCGTTCTCCCGCCAAAATATGTCAAAGTCAGATGGGTTCACCCATAACATTGGGCTTGTTTATATTTGGTATCGCTTCTCGTTGGCCATACTTTACATCAATATTTTCTCATGTTTGAGCTATTATTTTTTTGTGGAAAATAAAAATATAACTTACTTCCAGGTTGGATATCTTCTTGTCTTATATTTTTTCTAGTTTCTTTTTGTATTTTTTCTGAAAATAAATGAATAATAATACATTACACAAATGTAACACAACTATACACTTGACTTGATACAATAACAACATTTAAAGCATGATTTAAAGTAATCGTTATTACTGATTGAATATGTTCATATTTTAATACTCTTCAAGTTACAGTAATAATGCATTGAAGTGATGAAAATATCCTCACTGTATTCTGAAACATCCATCATTGGACTGATTACTATCGGATAAAGCGCAAGTCCTATAAACCCAGCGAATCCTGTTAGGAATGCGGCATAGCGCCAGCCTCTGTAAAACGCTACCATTTCTGTGTAATTATTAATTAATTCCTTTTAATTGAAAATATTGGTTTCGCATTATTTCGTTTACCACTGCTCCAAATTTTTTGACAGTAAGTAGCTGTCAATGTCAAATTTTTGACAACGGCCAGCTGATTTCTATGTATTTAAAATAGTAGTTGATAATTGAGCAAAGATAATTATGTAGTAAAATAACAATAACGGTATTTATTTAATATGATTAACCCTCGAGTAGTGTATATGGAGATGACAGAAACAATTTAAAAGTCATAACCATAACACATAAAACAAGTTCTAAAGAACAATCGCCTAATATTTACCGGAAAACTAGTACTTAGGTACTTACTGAATGCTTTTTATTTTCATTTTCTGAGTTAAACCATTTCTAATCGAAGTTGTTGGTTGTTAGTAATAATACCTACCTAGTCTGAATCACTTACCTACTATCAATAATAAAATTTTATTATTAAAACCAAACAAAACAAAATGCGGTTATAGTTGAACTTGTTTAGGTGTACCTACCTATAGGTAACTATGTAAGTCATGTTACTACTTAATGAGCCACGGGAATGTAGTGAACTGATAAGTACAAGCCGTTCTCGCATTACACGGTCTCTTCCATAGGTACCTATTGAAATAATGATAGCATATTGGATACCTAAATTAGCTTTAAAAATGTCAAAGAATAAGGTAACTGCAACTAGGCAAATTGTTGACTGCAGTTATTAGTTTGTAGTTAGGTAGGTATGTTCATCAGAGGTAGGTATCTGTTATGTAAACAGATGAACATTATATGAGCATGTGCTTCCGAAGAAAAAGTGTAGGTAGGTATAATGTAGAAAAACAACAACTATTCAGTAAAAAGCTAGTAGGTACTTATCTCGATCAGTCCTGAAATAAATCAGAGCATTGAAACTGACACGCATAGTTTATTATATTTAACCAATTAGACTCGGTAGAAACACTGGGTAAAATTGTAAGTAAATAGTAAGGTACCTTTGACTCTTATGTAGGTAAATAATTATGTAGATAAGTTTGTCAGTAAGTAGGCGCTACTTGCTGCTCTCAAACAAACTTAACTTGAGAGCAGCTGCTATCAAGTACCTATTTATTGCACCCACTAAAATAGACAGTTGTCGCTATCACCCCAATTAGCAGCGCAGTATCATAAATCTACAAGATGGCAATTGCTCTGACTTTTTTCTGCTTTTATTTTCAAATTCATTAGAATTTATAATGCGCCAAAAATGAAAATGGGAACAAGATCAAGTGAAACATTTAAAATGTGGCACGGTGTATATTTTAAATGTAATAAAATACAAAGGTAGATAATACGCATACGTACGTTAGGTTTTTATTACAGTCCACTAATTTGGATTTGGTAGAAAACACAAAGATTTAAAACATTAACATAAAACAGCGGTTTATGTTTGTATTCATAACGGAAACTAAAGCTACTTACGTTAAAACTAAACAATAGTAGGTATTGAAGCAGTCTTAAACCAAACTAAACATAGCACTAATAATCTCTTACACTATTCTAAATGACATCACATTATAAATGCACTATTTAATCACTACAATACATATCTAGGTATAGGATACTTAGTTTGGTACATTGATTGCATTTGGGTAGGTAGGTACTCTATCTAAACTGTAGAACTTATCTATTGAGGCTACTAAGATCATTAGTTTCAATATCGGGCTCGTCGCCAAATGACTTAGAGGCTCCTTCTTCAAGCAATTGCAATAATTTGATGTAAACAAGAGTCGGAGCATCTACTCCCCATAAGAAATCAATGTGATTGAATTCACGTAATGGCACAATGTAGTGTTCTATTGGATTAGCTAATTGGACATACAAATTCGTTACATCTACATCACCCGACAGCCAATCGTTCTGGGCACTTAACAAGGCTATTGGTAAAGTTATTTTATGTATTGGATATTCGGGAGGAGTCGGTGATCCGTACTGCTTCATGTTTCCATCAATGCCGTAGTCAAAACGTTGGAATCTTCCATCGTTTTTGATTTCTTGGGCATAATGAACCAGAGTTCTAGTTGATGCTCCAGCAGGCACGTGTCCCAGTATCATCGGCAGAAGCGTTCGGTTGAACTGCTTCACATCATGACCACACAGCACGAAAAGGGAATTTTCACAAATAACTTCTTCGTAATGGTTGATTTCACACGCATGCTTTGATAGCCATCTCAGAACGGCATTCTGTGGTAGGAACTCATTTGCTCCTAGCAGCTTCATCAGATACTCTATGTTATTGCTATACTTTGCAAGAAGACGAATGGGACTCTTTATGTCGGTCATATAAGCAACTGGTGCTAAAGCAAAACCAGCTCTCAACACTTTATTGTATTGTGTTTTGGTTGAAAGTAACGCAAACAACACTGTGGTTCCCATCGAATGACCGATATAGTTTATTTTGACATCCCAACCTTTGATATCCATAATATGATCGATGACCGCGGGCAAGTCATGTTGACTTACTTCATGAAATGTGAAATTCCAGAACTCGAAGCTGTCGATGTTCAATGATACATGAGCTCGGGAATATGTGTTGCCCCGGACGTTGGCCATCCACACATCGTAACCAGCTTCAGATAAGATGTAAGCGAGGCCTTTCTTAGGTCCTGGTATTATCCAGTCTGCAGAGCTTCCCAATAAACCGTGATGAAGTAGCACCGTTTTCCGAGGACTCACTCTGTTAAAAGAGTTTTTAGAGAATGGTATTCTATGTACGGTGAGGATATAGCCATCGTCTGTGACGATGGTGTGAGATTCAGCCGTATAGCCATTGCGAGCTATTAATTGCGGCGTCGTCATGTGCACGGAAGGGTCGTCTTCTAGGCATTTGTACTCAAGATCTTCAGGGGCGATGGAATCGAAAATCTTACTATCGCTCGTTTTAGCTGCGTCGATGTAACCTTTGAACTTTCTTTTTATCCTTGCTTGGGAGTCGCTATCTGTTTCCTCTAATACTTTGTTATTGTCATCGTCGATACCCAAATACGACGTTATTTTGTTTCGCACATTTTCAACGTAGAAGTGTTTTAGGCTCCTGCTTTTTTCGCGGACGTAGTTCCTGATTTGGGATGTTTTGTTTGCGACGACGTCGTAAATATTTGGGATCCATGAAGTGTGGCGGCAATCACCGAGTTGTAGGATTACAACGAATGTAAACACGAGAACCGATAGCTTCATGTTTCTATTCGCACGCGTGCTCGACCGGAGTTCGCGAGACGCGGTGGACGACTGAACCGGTCGTTGAGTTCTATAGTAATTTATCCCACACCACCCGAGTGCGAGGTCAAGGGGAACATGAGTAATACGAATACGTAAGTAAGCATAAGCAGAGCGTTCACATGATAATAATAATTTTGATAAGTAAACAAAAACAGTGAATCATTAACTAAGTACTTAAACCTATGCATAAAATATAACATAGTACATATTAATAACAAATAAAAACCGGCCAAGTTCGAGTCGGACTCGCGCACTGAGTGTTCCGTACAAACCTGTTAGGTATAACTTTGATTTTGTTAGTTTTGTTACAGCTTAAAGGTATAAATGAATTTAAATTTAAATAACTCTACGCGTTTACGAAGAAAGGAGTAAGTAACATTAAAATAAAAAAAAAACTAGATCTCGTTCAAACCAATTTTTGTTGGAAGTTTGCATAGTAATGTAGGTACATCATATACAGGGTGTTAGGTAAATGGGTATATGAGCCGACACTAGCCCATGTTAACATGGTCATATAAAACGTATGGTGAAGTCAGAAAATTGATATCTTCATTTTAACTATTTTAATTTTCATACAAATCGGATATTGTAAAATTTATTTTGTATGAAAATTAAAAAAAATTAAATCATGATATCTGACTTCACCATACCATTTATATGCCTATGTTAACATGGGCTAGTGTCGGCTCATATACCCATTTACCTAACACCCTGTATATTTTTAGTTGTATAATGCCCGTTTTCACCATCAATCCCTAATTTTTAAGCGACCCCTATGAAAACAAAATACCTGTTATTTGTTACCATAGGGGTTACTTAAAAATTAGGGTTTAACGGTGAAAACGGGCATTACTCTCTTATTTTAAAAGTTAGAGGGGCGGGGGGCGCGGGGGGGGGGACACATTTTACCACTTTGGAGCGTCTCTCGCGCAAACTATTCAGTTTAGAAAAAAATATATTAGTAGGGTAGGTACGCGAATGGGTTAACCAACACGAATGGGTCGGATGAAAAAAAAAATTTGAGTTTCAGTTCTAGGTATGGGGGGAACCACCAAAAAATTTTTTATTTTTGTGTGGAAATCTTAATACGGTTCACAGAATACATCTACATACCAAGCTTCAACAGTATAGCTCTTATAGTTTCGGAAAAAAGTGGCTGTGACATACGGATGATGGACAGACAGACAGACATGATGATCTTTAAGGGTTCCGTTTTTGCCATTTGGCTACGGAACCCTAAAAATTGATATAGTTAGGAACTATCAATTTTCTTCTTTAATTATTAAAATTAAGTAAGTAAACAAAAATAGTGAATCATTAACTACTTACAACAATAAAAAAAAATTGAGTTTTCACAGGAAGGCCTAATTAAACTAAAATAAAAAATATGTAAGTATCCATTTTGTAACTAGTGCATTTCAAGTTCTAGAAATACCCTAGACAAAAGCTTTAAAAAAAATATTTATCTATGTAAGATGAAGTACCTAATCCAGGGGCACAACTAATAATGGTTGAGTAGTATAGTTAGTTATGCCACAAAATAAAATTATAAGATTGTGGACAATCAGTATTATACAGTTGTTAAAATCATTCAATATTTATTATTTACTTGATTAATTAATCAAAGGCATACAGAGATAAAATGTTTAACCTTTTTTCTCTAAAACCTCTCCTAGAATGCCATGCCTGTGGTCCTATTAATTTAGCCTAGGCGCAGACCACCGATTTTTAGTCGGCCGATAGTTGGGCCCAATTCTAATTTGTATGAAGAATCAATCGGTGTAATGTGCGCACTTCTATACATGCCCATACTGGTTAACTGCCCGACTAAACTATCGGCCGACAACAAACCAGTGGTCTGCGCCTAGGCTTAGTTGTACAAATATTACTGCAATGGACAAAATGAAATCATGTACTAAGTCATTACTCACACTATGTACTAAAAGTATGATTGTAGCATTTTTTTCTATGATTTTATGACTTATAACTAAGCAACAGGACCACTGGCAATGTGCTCCTTTTTGTAGGGCAGTTAGGAGTACTAACATTGTTAAACAAAAATTGTATCAATAAACAATTGGAAGAACAAACATGGAATTTATAGCTTAAAAAAACCTTGCTGAACAATGTTACAATGTTCAGTTTTCAATGTTGATACCTACATACATAGATTATAATAAATCTAAGCCTTACATAATTATAATGGAAAAAATATCTCACATTTTTTCATGAATATAAAAATGTTAATAACTTTAACAAACAGAAAATTCAATACCTACATTTCCTTAACTTTAATCAGATCAAAAATATTCCTTGGAACTGGACTGCTATTCTAATCCCACATTTCATGATCAGGATCAGTCTCCGGCAAATAATCCTTCTGTAGAATGGGTTTTGGAGTATACAATGATCCAGTGACTGTATTAGTTTTATGTTCTGGGCATATCGCAGCTTTTGATGGGCATTGAACAAGGTGCTCCCTCAAAATATCTTCATGAGGAAACCGGTGGGTGGCATTATATGGGCATATCTGCCAACCTGGATAGTTTTTCTGGCATTTTACGATGTGTGCTTGCAAACGCAAGCGTGACACTTGGTGTTTCTTATCGTACGGGCAATACACAAAGGGGCTGTCCATGTTTTTCAGTTTCAAATATCTACAACAAATTGTTTAGCTTAGTTGGACCATTTTTTTAAAGGACTAAATTATGATGATCATGTAATAGTTAAATTATTTACCTTAGGAACACACCAAGCACGTTCCAAAAAACGTACACAGACAAATCGGACGGAAGAAACAAGAAACCAAGAAACGAAGAAAGAAAAACAACAACAAGCAATGACAAAATGACAAGCAAGCAACAACAAGCAACAAAAAATCAATTTTATTTTTCCTTTTGCAGGAAAAGGCCAAGGCATTATTATACTATACAGCCTTTTTAAAAAATTTAGTTTTCTTTTTTTTTTATTCCTTCATAGTTTTGGACAAAGGTAACAAGCAGTATCTTTATCATTATCTTTGCCTTCTAGAGCGACATTTTATTGTTGACAGTTATGACAGATGACAGAGATGACAGTTGACAAAAAAATTCGTTTGTGTTTTTGTCGTTGTTTTGCCCAAGTTTTGCCTTCTTTGTTGATCATCGAATTTTTAGTTTAGATTGCAATGATCACTGATTTTGCAAAAGAAAAGGTATATTGGACACGCAAAATGAATTTGAAGTTAGTGAGATACATACAGACTCGACCCAATATTTGGAATCCGAAACATCCGAAATACACTTCTGTGGAACATAGAGATCGTACTTACGCCGAATTTGCTTCGAAATACGGCGATGAATTCACTGGACAAGCAGTAAAAGACCGTTGGACGAATATAAGATCTACATTTTCGCATTATTTACGAAAATTAAATGCTAGTCGCGCTAACGATGGCGCAGAGGTACTTATTTCAAATCAGTGTTAATCTCAAGAGTAGCTAGAATGGGTCTCCTGGGGTCGGCTTATCCGACACCAGAAGAATATATAGGTCACTCTCATCCAAGCAATTAATTCACTCTATGGATAGGATCTTTGTGGATGAGGGGGAATAAAGGTTTAGGGAAGCTCAAAAGATCCCACTGCAACTGGGTCGACGTGCACTGCGCCCATGCGTGGCCCTAGATATGATGAGATAAGATAAGATAGGATTCTAGAGTACCAGAAGTTTACTGGTCCGATTTCAAAAATTAATTTTGTGTTGGATAGCCCATTTATTGAGGATGGCTAAGTATTTGGCCTTCGCTAATTCTGTTTCAAATTTAACTGCTGAATGTTGTTACAACTTCAACTTAAAATATTTGTTTGTTTCCCAGGAATATAAAATTAATTGGCACCTTTGGGAAGCTTGCCAGTTTTTATTATCAGTGAACAAAAGGGGCCAAAATGATTTATCAGATGAAGATGATAAAAAGGTATGAAGTTACTTCATTCAAGTATTAGTAGTAACATCAAGTTTAAAACTACAAAAAGCTTTTCTGTGTGACTACCATACTCTGATGTTATCTACTCTCTATATTTTATAAAAAGAATAACAAACAGTTTATTTTTTAGGCTATTGTAAATCAAGAAGATTGGGTTAGTGAAGATGATGCCTCTCCCACCGATAACTCCAAAGATAATATGTGCAAAAGTATTGCTGAAAATCTATTTCACATTTTACAAAGTGCACAAAATGAAGGACTTAATAACACAGATTCTACAAAATATGGCTATGTGGGACGGGCCATATCAAAAACCTTGTCTCAAATGAGTTCTTTTGATGCTGCCTGTGCATCACAGAAAATAATGGAAATCCTGCTATTGTATGACAAAGATAATCCAAATAATCCTAATAATAAAAATGTAGTATATCTGTAAACCTAAAATTTATTTTTACTTTCTACTAACATACTTAAATATTTAAAGGACATTTAGCTTTATTTAGATTTTAGACTTATACTACATACCTACAATCAGTTTTCCAAAAGTTGGGAATATTAAAGTTATTACCAGACCTATTAATAGGACGTACCTAAATGTACTTTTGGTAGGAACATCGTATTTAGGTCGCCCCAGCGAGAGTTGTGGCGATCATCACCAAAGAGCATGATCATCACAAGCAAAGAAAGATTTGTATACAACTACTCTTATCACGCTGGCGTCTTGCGTTTTCTGCCCGATTTGTTTGTTTGTACTTTATAGTCAATTGATACATAAGTGGAAGTAAAGTAGGTGATGTTCGCCTCAACTTTTGTTGCTCTACGTGCATTTATTATTTTGATTTTGCTAAAACTAGGCAGTATGATCTCTGATCTTAGCCTATTCCTATAATAACGAAAAAGAATGTTGTGTTTGACAGTGACATTTCGAATTTTTGCCGCGAATCTAAAAAAAATTTTGGTGCTTTACATTTTTTTTTATAATTTCTTTGCTAATTTTAAATTCATTAACCTATCTACCTATTCAAAACTTTTGGGTGTTATTTCTTTTAGAAACGGACAATATCAAATAATGTTTACATTTACTGAGTTTAATATCGCAGTTGAGAATGCTGAAGCCAATCCTCAAAACTTGGATTTTCTTAATCTTTTATCTTGTAAATGGGACGAGGTTCATGAAAAATGTGAAGTGTTTCGGTATAAAATTAATAACCTACAAGACAAAGTCGTCGATGGATATTTACTGCAGGTAAATACCATGTATTACTTAGCATCAAGTTCATTACTTTCGATATTACGTGGCGTAACCTTATCCATTTAAAGTTACTGATAAAAGGACCTGTAATTAAATGCCTTTTTAGTTAAACCCAGAGCGGAACTGCAAGAGGCGAACTCCAGAACAAATAGACAGCATTTGCCAGTCATTTGATGGCACAAAATTCAATTTCAACAAAGTTTCACCTCAAGAAGTTCTTTTTACATTTAAAAAAGATGTTCAAGGTAAGATTTTATACAATATCATTGATTTTATATGATTTTATGAAGCGGAATGACCTGTGGCAATGACTATTACAAACAACTTACGTTTTATTGTTGTTGTTTACAGTATCAGCTGTCCATAGTGTTATCGTTAATGTAAGCCCAATATCTAGATACCATAGCCTTCTATGTCCGTCACTTGAGAAGTGCCTACCACAAGTTGTAACTGAGGAAAGCTTGGAGCTAGTTATTAGTCTTATGTTGCTAGTGAAAGATCGGTAAGTTTAGTTTTGAGTCACAACTAAAGCAAGTAAAGTTAGCTTAACCTATACATTATAAATACCAACTAGAAGCAGTCATTTTTGGTTTTGGTAGTGTCCTTTAAGAAACAAGTACAAGTAGGTACACAATTCAAGTAATTAAATGTAGTATTTATTTTTCAGTGCCTTTCGTATAGGATTCAACAGTCTTTGTGGTTTAGCATCGGTGAATCACTTGCATTACCACATATTTATGGAAAATAATATATTGCCAGTGGAAACAGCTGTAAGTATGAAGGCAAAATTCACATCTAAAACATTTTTTATCATTCTAAAATAAAGTTGATCAGTGCTCATAAACTTGGTAGATTAAAATGGATAGCAAAATCAAATCACTTTAAATCTTAAATCTTTATCATTTTTCTAACTATGATTTCGAATAAGGTTATTTGATCTTGTATGAGTGTCATCCATCACATTAGCCTCTTTAAAGCAAAAGTTAAATATTGTCAATATTTTTCCAGAAATGTAACCACCTACAAGGGCCTGTGTACTGTATGAATCAAGACTACCCCATCCCTGCCTTTTGTTTCCAAATACCATGTGAGGATTCAGCCACAAATATGGCAAAAGACATATACAAACTCCTGGAATACTTGCTACATAAGTCAATAGCACATAATATCTTTATAACTAGAGGAGAGAGTGTAGACAGTAGTGAAAAAGAGGTCATAAGGGTGCTTGTGTGGCCAAGGAAGAGTAGTGCAGGAGTGAAACAGCTTAGCGCTTTCAATGTAGCTGTTCTGGAGCTGAGTGGGTGGTTCCCAGTTTATAGTAAGTATGAACCAAGTATAATTTTTGTGTTATAAGCATGTAAAATACTTACCACTGACCATCGAAATATGATCAAGTATTTTGTGGCTTTTGAGTGCTATAAGCATGTAAAAAAACTTACTGGCTATCAGGCAGCAACCATACCATAATGGGAGCACTATGACAAAGATTTAACATCCATTCATTCAATAATTCTATTTTATACTTATGGCATGAATCTGTAGCAACCCAGCTTTGTATTTTTTATCGCAAGCTATCACTGGTCTACTTTTTCCCATCCCATTGTTTTCACACTTTTTTCACCACTTTTTATACTTAAATATTACTTCTTAACTGTAAATATCCTTCCTGATTATTTTCCAAGAGTTACTAATTAAACTGCAAGATCGCAAAAGTCAATTGATCATCAATCATTAACATAATTAATTATGTCTAATTTCATTATGACTCATGCCAATATATGATAGATACTGCTGTAGTGGTATGTCTCATTCCTTAGTGACCTTTGGTTCCCTCATATCCTGCTTTGTTGTTTACAATCACTGAGTCATGTATTCCTATCACGAAGATGGCTTTTAACCCCTGAGCAATACATAACATTTATATTTTATTTATAAACAATTAATGCGTCATGTTTATTTATTTGTCTAATAATGACTAATATTTAACACCAAAAATATGCCTCCTTTAGTTATCCTACCCACCACAATATTTCAGCTTACATAAGTTAGCTGAGTGAGAACACTTTTAGGTGTTCAGTTAGCCAATAACTAATTAATAGATAATTTAATATTTTGCCTGGATGCGGGCGACGCAGGACCGGTCGTTGTCGAAATCCTTGGGAGAGGCCTTTGTCCAGCAGTGGACGTCATTCGGCTGAAACGAATGAGTTTAATCTTACAGCTTTACAAAGTGCATGTGTGCGATATACATACCTATGATTCAATGTATGTGCGATACTATACATATCGTATGTAAACTTGGCGGGAATCGAACGTATGATCGCTAAAAATATCTCGCGTTAGTATAGTGCGTCCTCAAATTTTTAGTAAAGGACATACAATTCAGACACAATATTCAAAGCAGTGCACGAACAAACTTGCAAACATTTTTCTTTCGTGTATTAATTTATTATATGAATTTATCTTTGTTCTAGATGCTGACGATTTTGAAAACCTACAAGCCGCCGACCTCGAGAAAGAACTGAAAAAGTGGAGGATAGACAACTTTGAAGATCTATGTAAGGAAATAAAATCACTGTTTTAGTAGGACTTGTATTTTGATACCAAATAGTAGTTTTGGTTACTGTGAGTAATGGATGTAGGTATCTATCTGTTGATGATGATTTCATTTTAACGTCTGACACTTCATACGCTCTTTAGAGTGGTCTGATAGCAGTAAGTAGTTACTTTGTAGATAGTTTACAAAATAGGAAATACCTACAGCTATTGTTTACTTCTCTCGGACTAGGTGCTTTAGGTGTATTTTGCTGTTTAACAAAATAACTTACTGTAGGTCCTAGATCGTGCTAAGAACTTCTCGCCCGCTTAGACGCCTGTTCGAAAATTATGTGCAATAAATGCAAGTATTCTTAGAACAATGAAATTGCTCTATCAAATAAAAAAGCCAAATGCNGCAAATGCCCGTGATAAAAATCTTGTCTATTTTATTTATTTAATACAACAAGCTACGTCTTTTTTCGTCTGCTAGAATAATTACGTTACTTGTCAATCATCAATAAATCTGTAATCGTCTGAAAATCACTTTCATTCTATGATTTAAACATTTACTTTTCATCAGTTGAATTATTTTTGAATGTTTTTAGTTTTCATACATAAACATTTCGGATTGCAAATAAAATTGTCAGGCGATTGAATATTGGCAATTGCCCCCAAATCATTTACCCATTGAAGGTTTTTGGTTCAAATAGGTACAATCGTTAAAAAAACATCAACTATAGAGATACAATCACTAGCTGACTCGGTGAACTTCGTATCGCCTATGTTCATCAGAAATGATTATAGAATTGTAATGGTGAAAGAATTTTTCATTTTTCAGTAGTTTTGGAGCCTATTCCAAACAAACAAACAGGCATTTAAATCTTTCTTCTTTGTAGATCATTGCTATAAAAATAATTACCTATAAAAATCAAAACAATACCAGAGTCATAAGATAAAACTAGTAACCTGCTTCATAATTCGGTCAGAAGCTCACTAACTAAAACTGTAAGAACTAATCTGTATAGAAAGACAATTCCGACTTACTGCGTTACATACTTATTACAACTACAGCGATTAGTATGCATCGCGTCTGCTGCATGCATCACTCGGTAGAAATCACACGCAATGCGACGCACGCGCATCTCAAGCGCGCTGAGAAAATGTGCCGCAAAGAATCTGTGTCTGCAGACGACTTATTAACTAGTTAGCTAGTTTATAAGACTACGATTATCAGAGCTATTGTTGCAAAAATATGTATAATAGTTTTTTTCAGTAAAGAGTAAAATTACTTCGTCTCCCCAATTAGGGTTTCAAATAAATTGTCACAGTTATCTTTAAATTAATCCTTCAAGGCCCGCGAATCTAGACACAATAGATAATCAATTGTTATGACATTAATTAATGCCGTATATGACTATGACTATGACTATAGACCACCAGACCATAGACAAAAAGTTCTGCCTATTTTAAATTTTGAATTCTGCAAATTTTCGAAAGACCTTTTTAGTTTTGTATTATGAACGAACACCCTGAAGAATATGAACAAAAATGTGAAAGGAATCGTATTTTATCGAATAAATAGTTATTACTTATAATAAATGGCACCAAAGCATGCTACTGTCACTTTCTGTTAATTATTTTAACAATCACAATCAAAAACAGTTAGGAAGTGACTTCCTTACTTTGTTCCCAATGTTTGTTGTAATCCCAAAAGTGAATGGCATTGCATCCGGCCATGACTGCAATGTCAGTCTCGTTTGGTCTCGTTCCGTCGACTCCCGCGCAACGGTACTCCGTCGTGGATCTCGCGCAGTCGTACTCGCGGCCTTCACCGCTATGGGTCGTTCTCTCCGATCGCTCTCGGCCTACGCGCCGGCCGCCCTCAAAAACGTACGGTACTCCTCCTCAGGGTGCCCATTCTCCAAACGACAACAGTCCCAAGTAGCCCCAACCGCGGAAGTCAACGAGGAAATCTTCGCCAACGCCAAACCCTACTCAGAAGTGCCAGGACCTAAACCGATACCCATATTAGGGAATACGTGGCGCATGGTACCGGTAATCGGACAGTTCGATATCTCGGAATTCGCGAAAGTGACCAAATTTTTCTTGGACAAGTACGGGAGGATCGTCCGCTTGGGTGGACTCATCGGCAGACCAGATTTGTTGTTCGTGTACGATGCAGATGAAATCGAAAGGATGTATAGACGGGAAGGGCCTACACCGTTCAGGCCAGCTATGCCGTGCTTGGTTAAATACAAGTCGGAGGTTCGGAAGGATTTCTTTGGGGAGCTTCCAGGAGTTGTTGGAGTGTAAGTGTTTGTCTTCGTTCATCCTTAAATCTTATATCAATCATCAAAAAACTTCTAAAACGAGCTTGCTTTACATCCATATGAGAAAACCGTTGATCACATAGGATGTCATTAGTATTTAGAGCGGCAATACCGTTGGTAGTTTCACGACTTTCACCTTTTTTATTCGTTCGCAATTTGCCTAAGACATTTTAATAAGACTGGTTCTTAAATCTGGTCTCAATGAAAGCAAAAAGTCTAAATGAAGTAGTTCTTCAATTCAAGAAACATTCAAGAAAATAATGGTCATTATCGTCCGCTCACAGTAGTTACTGTAAGTCATATAATTAAGGAAACGTTGCAAAATTATCTAAGCAATAATGTTCCCATTAAAGTTAAGCTAGCTTGGAGGATTGCGAAAGTTGTTTGTCACTAGGCTTGCCACAACTTTGTGGTATAAACATAGTGGTGAAACTTTATAATGGTGTAAACGCATACAATTTTTAACAAGGATAAACTAATATATTAGATACGGGTAAATTATGATGTTATTGGTATAATGACAAATTAAATCCGACCGATGTCGAGATCGAATTCGATTAAATAATTAATTTCTTTCATAAATATGAACGTAAATCAAAACTTCAATAACAAACGTAAAATAAATGAATTTAAACTTGTTTGAACTATTCTTCCTGTGACTATAATTGTAAAATAAATGTCGAATCATACATGCATAATAATATAATATCGATTACCAATAAGGAGAGATAGTAAGACTAATCGCTTTTGAATGTAAATAGCTTCACGCATCGCTGGTGAAGCAACATGCCGTTTGACTCAGTATAAAATACTGAAAGATCGGATGTAGAGGAAGACCATACAAACAAAGACGTTACAAATGCAAAAACAGTCCATTAAAATTATATCAATGATTTGACATTTCATAAACTTTCGTTAAACTAGTACCTACTTTCATATGAAATTGTTTAGAGTCACGCAAGGTACACTATTAGGTCCTATATATTTTATAATAATTTAGCTCCAGTGTTGCATAACTTTTAAGTTCTAAAGTTAACCTTAAGTTCTTATTTACAAAGCTATCCGTACGTTCTATTCAATAACACAAAACTTTATTTGCTCGAGTGTTCAAACTAATTAGTCAAACTAAACAAGTTTCATAATACCTCAGGCACATACCATAAGCCTTAAGTATAAATCCTAGACCTAAAACCTCTACCAGTTGCACAATTTGTATGCAGCATGTTGCATTTTAATTTTCAAAGTTGCATTTAGTTAAAATATTTCTTCAAGTTGTATGTCTTCAATTCTTCGAAGTACTTAGTTGTTGCATTTATTTTATTGCTTTATACTTATTTGATTTGTACATTTAAGTATCCAGTACCTGCCTCTTTTCTACCGCCAGCAATAAATCTTTATAATCCAATAAAATAACCGGATTAGATTTCACTGAATAATATTTGATATTGATAGATATTTTGAGGCCACATTAGTTAGCAATTTCGAAGTTTGCATAGATCATGGACGCATAAAATATAAACCAATGGCATTCGTAGGTTAAAAGGTGTTTGGTGTAGCACAGGGGATAGATATTATTGTTAAAATATCAAGCTTCTATTTACTTTAGATAACGCATTGAGCGTTGGAGATGAGATAAAGTTATTATACCTAATATGTAGCATAGAGATCTATTCTCTTTTTGTTCTTATTGCACTAGTCAAAAAAGTTTGACCTCTAAAGACTTGATTTCTGCAACTTTTGCTAAACCTTTATATAAATTGATTGGAGTCGCCCAAAATACACTATTAGGTCCTATATAATTTATTGTTTATTCCTTGTCAATGACACGGGCATCTGCAAGGTAGTTCCTGACCTTGCGTGCTTGTCACTCTTCATTTTATTGTGCATACAACTTATTTGCACCAGAAGTGCTAAACGGCGAACAGTGGTTATGCTATGTCATGCTATTGACACTGTTTAGCGCTCTGTGACAAGGATAATAGCGACATAACATAATCGAGTGCAACACTAGAATGTTTGTATGCTTTATTAACGACTGACCTTTATTGACTTCGGTTTGATGAATTAAGTACGATACTATGTATCATCTGTCCTCCTTAAAATAATAATACAAAGGGTTAAATTCTTAATTACAATAGAGTTAAAATGTTGTGCTTTAAATACTTTTTCGTTGTGTCGTGAACTTTCAAGTATGACAAGGTTGTGGTAGGAGCACAAGGTGCGATTCCAAACCGGTTTTTTACTGACCGGTTCGAAACGGATTCTTTTGGTCAAATGGGCGTGCCGTATATTTAGATTTAGAAGCATAGTCAACTTTGGTTCTTCACAAACGCCATGTTTCGTTGTCATACAAGTTTTGTAAGGTTATTTTATGATACTTATTTATGCGCATTAAAAATTATTTTTCATTAAATTATAAAAACGTACGATACGAAACAAATAGGTACGTAATTAAATTTCATGCTGTTAACTAAGCTACATTTATTTTATTATTTCTAATTACGCCTGGGTGGTAGTTAAAGATTTCCCTACACCCGTAATGTGTTATAGCCAATTAAAATAAAACAATTTAAAATCGACGGACAACATTTCAAATCCTGACAAAGATCTAGTTAAACATCTGTGTCCGTGCAATAGTTATAAATCTTTCTGATTACTTACTTTAATTTTTCTGTATTGTTCATACATGTGATTCATACAATCTTCAAGACACTTCGTCAAACATTTAACAACTCAACTAGCTCTGCTCGAGACTTCGTACGAGTGAAAATATATAGTTTGGATAATAAGCCCCGTTTTTGTAACATTTTTCTTTACTGCTCTGTTCCTATTAGCTATAGAGTGATGTTTGTTAATAGCCTAAAGCCTTCCTCGATAAAGGGCTATTCAACACAAAAATATTTTTAAATCGGATCAGTAGTTCCTGAGATTAGCGCGTTCAAGCAAACAAACTCTTCAGCTTTATAATATTAGTAAGTATAGATTTCGTTTCACGCGAAAAAGTGTCGTTTGTATCTACCTGACCAATTGACCATATCCGATTTTAGCTGACGCATTAGTTAGTGCACGTTACAAAATAAGCGATGTACGGTGAATGATAGTAGAACATTGTATCAATGATGGGTGTGGTAAAAGGGGGGAGGGGGGGCACTTGGCCCACTTGGTCAGCAGGCCGAAACGAAAGCCGCGGTGATGGTACGTGACGTGATACGAGTGATAATGACTGATGATTATCACGGTCAGGCGTGTAGTGTGCGGCAATAGAACTGGTCAATTTTTCGAAACGAATAAGCCGTTTAGCATTGTCGACGAACTGTCTGTTTGTTTGTAGTAGTTAAAGTTAAGTAGTCGTCAAGTAATCAAAAATAGGCACAGTCAAGTCAAATAATTCAAACTCAAAGTCATTTTGCCAGTTTCTGCTGGCTAGCAAATTATGTTTGACATTGAATAATTAGGTAACATACCAATGCCCTTATTTAGTCAACATAATAATGAAGTAATTAACTAATGAGGCCAATTTACGCACTGAATCGTATTAAAGTTATATGCATTGGTTAGAATTATTTATTTATTCCATATCAGGCTTGAATATTCTTGAATTTAATTTGGGTGGTTAAGACATTTAACTGTTTCAAAATGCGATACCTACTTTATAATTAGGACCGTAAATTCAAAATAAGGCGCTACTAACCGTGCGATGTGGAAGTCATTGGGGATGGCCTATGTTCTGCAGTGGACGTCCTGTGGCTGAATTGATGATGATGACGATGATTCAAAATAAAGTGGACGCAAGAAATATAAAAGAAGATTGTCTTAAAATGGGACATAATAAAGTAACTTCTAACTGTTTAAAAATAGCCTCTTCATATAAATTTTAAAATATATACCTAATCAAGGTTAAAGATACAATTATACTGGCTAAATCGTATTAATATGCCGAATTCTTCGTGTTAGATTAATTTATGCAAGATTATCGAAAACGCAATATGGCACCGTTTAGTTTAAACTTTGAACATTTCTTGGATCGTTAAAAAAATCTGATTAATTCTTTTTCTGCCCCGCCTTATCCCGTTACGCGGGGTCGGCTATCCCAATCATACAACGTCATTTATTTCTATCTCGAACGTCTTTCCAATACTTTCATGTCCTTTGGAAATTCGTCATCCAGGTGGATTGAGGTCTTCCTCTTCCCTTCTTTTTTGTGGCGATGCGACACTTTTTAATTCAGATTTAAAGGTATTTGACCACATTCGTTGAGTATAGTAAGGGTAATCAATCAATCGAAACCTATCAGACTATAGGTAGAGTCAGCGTCAAATAGTCGGTGATATCCAAAGACACCGAAAAGTTGACAACACAACCTTGTTCCAATTATAACAAAGACGTGTTGCGAACTTTATGGTTTCTTTGAATGTCAAGAACTATTAGAGTATTAGACGATGACTGTACATCATACATAATACGTAACTTCGATAGAACTCATGGGTGTGAGCCAATGATATTACAGAATTTTTATATTATATCATTGGTGTGAGCCGTTTGAAGGACAGACAAACATTATTTATGTTAATGGTGTGGACTCGCCTCGAGTGTGTGCTGTGAATAAACGACATCANTTGCACGCATTCCTGTAAAGTTTTTCTAAAAACGTAAAATAAATCTCGCGGAATCAAATCGGCGGATCTACCCATAGGTAATATTATGTGAACAAAATGGAAATCCCATAGTTATTTTAGCTATAACCTATAGGTACTAATACGACTTACAAATCTACCTACCCACTTAACATAAAAGTGAATAGTGAATAATCTATCTGTATGATTTTTTATTAAGGTTTAACACCCGAATCGCTACAAAACATCGTAATGGAGAAGTTTAATTTTTTTCTTTTAAAACTTGAAAATATAAGTAAAACTAATAATAATTGTGAAAGAATCATGAAATATCTCTACAAATAAAGAAGTTACAAGGCCCTAAAGTTGCGCATAACAAATATTTCGCGCCATTTGGTCGCTGTAGTCACGGCAGTCATTCGGAGTACAATCAGTAAATCACCCCTGGTCCAGTGCTGTTGACAGATCCAATTTTTTAAAATCTAATAGTTTTAATTTTTCAGCCAATGTCACTCAAGGTAATTTAAATAATTAATTTCTCAGCCATTTTTTGATGGATTTAAAAAAAAATACTTCGCCGTCTTTTTTGTTTTGATCTATATTTTAATCCCATTTATAGAAATATAAAAATGTTTTCAACATAAGGAAACTTATCCATTATATTGATACTGACTGATAGTCTTTTAGCTCATTACCAAAGATCCACATCTCTATTGTTTTCAAAAAATGTAAGTTCATCTTTGATTCCCAACGGGTCCACGACATAAAAAGTAAAAAAGCATACATAAATACGTAAGTACATAGAAAATATGTACATTTTAAAATTCATGAACCATGTGAAAAGAAGAACAATACAATCGTGGACCCGTGGACCTTTGGGAATAATAAAAGTCTTTTGTCTTATTTTTTGTTTTGTATGAAAAACAGTCATGACCTCTCAGTCTATCGCCCAAAGAGGGACAACAACCATAAAGTCAATTTGTGTATTTTATAGATGCTATTGAAGGTGATTTGTATTCCCAACGATTTTCACGCGAACTGATCGTAACAGCGACAAGTGCATATTGTCATTCCACGACCGATTTCTTCGCATCATGTTTAAACATTCTTGTAAATATGGTATATCCTTGTATTTTCTGTTAGCTAAAGCATTTAGTAGTTACTGCCAGTTAAAATTAAATGGACATTATCTTAAAGTAAATAATCATACTAATACCTAAACCACACTAAACGCAAGCAAAAGGCGAAGATGGCTAGAGGGATGTTTTTTATGTAATAAATTAATGGATTATTTATGGATTGTAGGTTTCTTAACTTAAGAGCAAATAAAGTCGCGGACATCACTAATGAATAAATACGAACTATGGTGACTGTCACAATTTCAAAGTAAAGAATCACTTATAGTACTTAGTGACAAGTTGTAAAGATGAACTATAACGGAAATAGAAACTATATTGCCCGTTTTCACCATCAATCCTAATTCCTAAGTGACCCCTTTAAAAACAAAATTCCTTTTATGTGTTACCATAGGGGTCACTTAAAAATGAGGAATTGATGGTGAAAACGGGCATCTCTTATTACGAAAATTAACCCAACTGGGATCAACGCCGAGCCGAGACCATGTGCATTCAAGGCGAACTCGCCTCTACCATCGGAACCCTAAAATAGGTACTTAAGTATTACCACTAGTTGAATTAAAACGTATTTTTTACAGTGAATTTTAAATGTGGATAAGTAAGTAAACATGTATTGTATTAAAATTACCTTGAAGATAATTGCCTCCAGCACGTCATTGTAAAACAAGTTCCAAGGGACCTGGCAGAAATTGGAAAGACTTGTTTCATATTAAAATTTTAAGCCTTTTTATCTGACATTGAGTAGCGTAGCGTATTATGAAACAACTTTCATGCTCTCAATAATACAAATTGAGAACCTTTTTTTTAAGTCGGTTAAAAACAAATATTAACACCTGTTATTGGACTAAAAATTTAAATTCAACCAATTCACAAATGATCGAAATTGAATAATTTTTTGAGTCATTTCGGAATACGAGTCGGAAAATACCAGCAGAAAAACCTTGACATACCGTTTACGTATGTAAAACACAATGTTAACAATAACTGTTTTACATGATATATGTAGGCTACAAAACTACAATGCAGACAAAGGGCTCACCTCTTTGTCTGGGTCAGTTGTCTTATTTACGGTCATGTCAACAATAAAAAATTACAAGTAATTTTAGTGAAATATACAAACTTATCAGTACGCAAAGTTAGATCACAATATAATACCTACGTGCTTAGAAAACATTTGGTTCTTGCCTAGCCTGGTTCACGTAACGAACATGTTAGTATTAATATTTAAAATAAGTTATACAACCAAATAAAAAATATAATTACTAACGAACGAACTTATTAGATTTATGTATCATTATTTTGTCATGTTGTAGGTATCTTAATAGATTTTTGTAAGTCTATTGTTTACTAAAGAAAATTATGCATGCATTTGTGTTATGTTTACAACTTTACAAGTAAACAATATTGTTTGACTGGTATGAAATACTTAAGTGCATGTCGTTTTCTCCTAACTTTCTTAACTACTTCTTAGTTTAACAGTAGTTGCTCGGAATATCTACTGCTAATTAAGAAGTACGAGTATTGTATGAAAGAAATGAAAATTAAAATCTTTAGTAGGTACTTACTTAGTAGCTACCTTTAATATGTACTTTCAATTGTATTATCAGACGTTGGCAAATACTTTTAACCTTTGTAGAAGGTTTTGTTGTGTAAAAAACGATTTCATATGCTTCTATTGTGTCGATCAAAAGATATGCAATTATAAATACGTTATCATATAAATTGAATTATTTTAAAAAGTGAAATCATACGTTGATTGCGTGCTGCGTTTTTAGGAGTTTTTTTTAAAAGTAAGTTGTCAAAAAGTTATCGGAACTGAATTAATACATCAATTAACTTATTACGAGTATTGTTTTAATTAAAATGATAAATTGGCATTGGCACTATTCACTCTCGCCTTGAAAAGGCGAGAGTGAATAAGCACTTACACAGGGCAGATAATATGTACCATCCTGAACTGCATCCCACTTAACATCAGTGATCAGGTGCGATTGTGGTAAAATACCTGCCCTGTTATGCATAAAAAATAATAATTGTATAATGCTGTTTCTTGTGTGATATTATGTAAAAGAAAGTCACATAATTGTAAATTTTTGCTCTATGATACAAGTTCAAAACTGGATATTAGAAAGAAAGAAAGAAAGAAAGAAACATTTATTGCCATGGACATCACAAAAGACAAAAGAGGTGAAATAAAAAAAAAGCAAAACTACATTGGTAAAATTACGATATTACCAATGTAGTTCACCGATAAATTATTTAATTATTGCATAAGATAAAAAATAATAATATAGGCACACGGAAGAAGGGTTTTTTAGGTACATTTATTGGCTATACCTGCATTATATTGAAAACAAGCATTTATCCTGCGATGAAATGCCAAAAAGACACGTTCTTTGTATGGGAATCCCACCCTACAAAAACCCCGTAAAAGCTGATTTGCGATCATCACTCTGCGTGAGCGTGAGTGGAAAATATGTTGGGTCGTATAAAAGAGCTCTTTAAAAGCCTTTTCATAGAAAGTCATCATCATCATTTCAGCCATAGGACGTCCACTGATGAACAGGCCTCTCCTAATGATTTCCATGTTGACCGGTTGGTAGCGGCCTGCGTCCAGCGCCTTCCTGCTACTTTTATAATGTCGTCGGTTCACCTTGTGGGTGGACGTCCCACGCTGTTTTCCGGTACGCGGCCTCCACTCCAGAACCTTGCTGCACCATCGGCCGTCAGTTCTGCGTACCATGTGCCCTGTTCATTGCCATTTCAGCTTGCTAATCCGTCGGGTTATGTCACAAAAGTCAATGAATTGTTTTCTTTTTCCAGACACGGCGAGCAATGGCGCAAGTTTCGCTCGAAGGTCCAGAGGCCGATCCTGCAGCCTCAGACGGTGAAGAAGTACGTTGGGCCCATCGAGATGGTCACCGAAGACTTTATCAAGTACATGGAGGGCGCGCGAGATGAGCTTGGCGATTTGCCACACCAGTTTGACAATGACATCCACCGGTGGTCGTTGGAGTGTGAGTAGCTATTGTGTTTTAACAGCCAAGGTTATGGTCATGGGTATGGCCACGCTTACAGTAGGTGGATTTCCTGTCTAATCTGTGTGCACATCAGTCCATATAAGTTATGTAAGTTCGGAATCGTTGACGAAGGCTGCAACTTGAGCCTATACTCTGCCTCTTGAGGTGAAAATACACAATTAAATTTTACGATACGAGCCTTCTATCTCCTGTCATTGACATTGGATTTAGCTCTGACGTTGCTGAGCTCTAACTACGACTGTACATCCCAATCCAGCTATAATGCGCACCTCGCTGGAATGCGAATCTCCCTCCCACTTTCCCGCAGATTTGCCCCGTTTACCCCATCCGTAACAGAGAGCATCTATGTGACGTCACGGCTGCCAGGTGTGCGGTTAACTCGACCGTGTTGTACCTATAGAACGCTGCACGCATAATTGCGTTTGTAAAAATTTCGTATTCTTCCCTTACCCTCGCGCGTTAAAAATACCCCTTTCACCATACCAGCCTTTTGTCCCCAGGCATCGGTCGCGTAGCCTTAGACGTGCGGCTCGGCTGCCTCTCCTCGGACCTGTCCAGCAACCCGGAGCCCCAGAGGATCATCGACGCCGCCAAATACGCGCTGAGGAACGTAGCGGTGCTGGAGTTGAAGGCACCATACTGGCGATACTTCCCAACGCCGCTGTGGACCAAATACGTTAACAACATGAACTTCTTTGTAGAGTGAGTATTTGATTCTGTGCTTTATGTAGATTATTTTGAGGTCCATTTTCTTATGACAGTATAAGTAATAGGAGGCATGCCATTTATTCTGAAGGTGCCCTACTGGCGGTATTTCCCCACGCCGCTGTAGACAAAATACGTTAACATGAACTTCTTTGTAGAGTGAGTATTTGATTGTGTTCTTTATGTAGATTATTTTGAGGTCCATTTTCATAAATGACAGTATAATAGGAGGCATGTCATTTATTCTGAAGGTGCCCTACTGGCGGTATTTCCCCACGCCACTGTGGACAAAATACGTTAACATGAACTTCTTTGTAGAGTGAGTATTTAGTAATATTTTCCCCTTGTTATTGAAATGTGTTTTGAGCATTGTTTCAAAATACATCACCTCAATACCTACTCAGGCAGTAATCGACCGAAATAAAATTCCTTCACCTTTTCAATTGACCACTCCAAATCTATAACATTCTTCATTAGATAGAAAGCAATTTAATTTGATGTTATTGTATTAAAATGCCATTACTAAAGTATCTTAATCTTAATTTTATTCTTGAAGCAACTAAATTGCTTCAAGAATAAAATTCTTAAGAAATGTGTGAGGATTTTCTTGAACGATTTTCGTTGTTTGAACGAGCTCTAGGTAAACTGGCATTTCAGCATCATTACCTAAATGTTTTCTTAGCGGTGGAATACTATGAATACGAATAACATAAGATTGGTTAATTCTCATGAGTAGGTGTATAATTATGGAACTTTTATTCGCCAGTTTTATTATATACCAGTCGTTATTCTTCCGAAGTGGCGGCAAAAGAGACAACATGCTAATAAAGTATTCTAACATTCCAGACTTTGTTCCCGGTACATCAACGAAGCTCTAGAAAGGCTGAAGACCAAGAAGGTGACGTCAGAGGACGACCTGTCTCTCCTGGAGCGCGTGCTCAAGAGCGAGGGAGACCCCAAGATCGCCACCATCATGGCGCTGGACCTCATCCTCGTGGGGATTGACACGGTATGTCTTAAAGTACAGGTGAACCCCTCAAACCCACAAAACCCCCTAGTTTTGAACCCCCACTCTTCAATCGCCAGCATCCCCCATCTTCTAACTTAATTTTCGACTTATCGTTGGCAGTCGTTCTACCCCTACCTTCCCAACCCCGTCCTAAAAGACAAATATGTGCTCAGGCAAGTGTTTCTAAAAAAGAGTCTGGAAAGAACTTGGAGAATAGAGGGCGCAAATTAGGGGCTTCGCATCTTGAGAGGATGCCACAGATTTTGTGCTCCTAAAGCTTCTTAGAGGGGAGCAAGGGGATCTGGGCACTGATTGAAGCTCTAGAAAGGCTGAAGACCAAGACGGTGACGTCAGAGCACGACCTGTCTCTCCTGGAGCGCGAGCTCAAGAGCGAAGGCTACCCTAAGATCGCCTTCGCCACCAACATGGCACTGGCCCTGGGTATGTTTTAAACTGTAGCTGAACTCCTGAAACTTCTTGTACCAAATCCCCTGTATGGGTCATTCCACAAAAATATGTCAACTCTTAGTCCGCGCCACATTTCACATGAAATATTTGTTAATATTTAATTCCAAAATTGTTAAATAACAGCTCGCAATGTGCTTTATTCATCACCCATTTATATTTTTTGAAACTATTTTTAAAACATGTTAAATTCCTTTTGAATGACCCAAAACGTCATTCCCTAGGCATGTCCGTACTCCAAAAGTTTGTGTTTTGGGACCCACATTTATAAAAACATCAACTTTATCCTTTGTTTTAATTAACGAATAATCTACTTAAATGTATATTACACCAAATTCTATTAATATTTTGCGGTTTCAATAAACAATAATTTGATTTTCTTTAGTTGAAAAAGAGTCTACAGTTTTTAGCGTCATTCCCTCGCCACGCACTGATTTTATAATTTTGCGCATTAATATGTATTTAGAGTGAATGACATTTAGTTGAGTTTAAAGTACGATACGAAGTTATCCTCAGACCATACTGGCTTTGCGGTACCCGTTTTTTGAATAAGTGCAAACGTCGTGCCAGTTGTTGCGGAAACATGTGTTAATCCAGTCACTTCGTCAGTCCCTAGTTGAGTAGCTTTATTGATTATAATAGGAAATTGTATATAATTTAATAGTATTTACGTGTGGTTTTTTGGCTATTTTCGGCACATCGTATTAAGCATCTTATAATATAAAGTTAATCTGCATTTGTGTTAAGTTTTACTCCAAATCGTCAGTCCCTAGAGCGTCAGGCCCTAGCTTTAAATGGCACTTGGGACTAAATTACTAGTTAGGGAATGATGTTTTTTATACAGGGTGTCCCAAAAACAATGGATAACCCTGTAACCATCGATAGGCCTCGCCATGGTCTCCCTAACGTCCAATTTTGACCCCAGTAAAAATATCACGTGGCGACCACGGGCTGGAAAACGTAGCGTGGGCAGGCCTCCTACTAGGTGGACCGACGATCTGGTAAAGGTCGCGGGAAGAGCCTGGATGCGGGCAGCGCAGGACCGTTCATTGTGGAAAACCTTGGGGGAGGCCTTTGTCCAGCAGTGGACGTCATTTGGCTGAAACGAACGAACGAAAAATATCACCGTTTTCCAGATTTTTAAGTTTTTGTGCATTTTTACAAAATTGCCACCTGCGATTACTTTTTCTCATGCCATTTCTACAAATGAGGATACTTTTCAATCTAGTTTTTTTCATACTAGTTGCTATTCAAGTAGCCATAAGATAAAAATAACACAGAATACATAGGCTTGTGATACCTTTTTAGAATCTCAATTAACCAAGGAAGTTTTTAAGGTAATGGGCACGATGGTCTTCCTACATTTTTTTTACACGACGGCTGATCAAAAGTGCAAGACAATGAATTAATTTTTCCTTCTTCTCTGCAATTTCTTAAAATTTTCATAGTTTTAAACTAGTTTGTTGAACTTTAATCTTTTCTTTTGATAGCCCAACTATCCCTTGTGATAAGGAAAAAAACTAGATTGAAAAGTATCCTCATTTGTAGAAATAACATGAGAAAAAGTAATCGTAGGTGGCAATTTTGTAAAAATGCACAAAAACTTAAAAATCTGGAAAACGGTGATATTTTTACTGGGGTCAAAATTGGACGTTAGGGAGACCATGGCGAGGCCTATCGATGGTTACAGGGTTATCCATTGTTTTTGGGACACCCTGTATAGTGATAATAACAAAACAACTACATTATGTGTATTAACTTATCTATAAATGTTAAGGTTATAAGTTTTATACTTTATTAGAAGTCATATAGGAGTAATGTAGTTTGAAAAAATTGATAATTGTAATTTCTCCTAAATTAAAGCATAAAGTGATTGGCCCTTTTAGACATAACATAATTAATTAATAAACAATAATTTACACTAATAAAGTATTCAAAAGCATCTTAAAAAAGTTACGGACAAAATGACGTCGAAAATATACAGATTTTTATGGAATGACCCGTATCTACCCTTCAAACCCCTTAGTTTTGCACCTCCTCTCTCCAATCTCCAGCCTTCCTCCCCTTTTAAATTCCTTTTCGACCTCTTGTTGGAAGTCTTCTAAGCAACATTATGGTCCTTCGAGCCGGATTCAGTTTTCTGCGGTATTGCGACCGGGGCAGCCTTTCGTTCGCCACTCTGGTTCGCGTCGCATGTGGGCGATTTCCATACATGCAAGTTCGTTAAACCTCTCAACAAAGTCGACAAACTATGTGTTAGTTTGATGATGATAACATATCGTTTATGGTGACCGACAAAACTTTGTCATCATTTACGTTAGAATTTTATTATGCCCCCAATCTATTCTGCAGGTCCTGTCTAGAATCTACAACCTTTTCATAATCTTAGTTCTTAGTTACTTATCATTTTGTATTATCCTTCCAGATATCAATGGCGGTCTGCTCCATCCTATACCAAGCGGCGTTGCGGACGAAACAACAGGAGAAAATGGCGGAAGAAATCCGAACAGTTCTGCCGGATCCGAGCAAGCCTCTCACGTACGCAGACCTGGACAAACTGCACTACACTAAGGCTTTTGTTAGGGAGGTTTTTAGGTGAGTACCATAAATAGGGACTTCTTTAGTTTTTTATTAATGAAATTTACAGGTAGAAGATTTTTAGGTCTAATTGAGGAACGTTATTATTGTTTGTGGATAGTAAATAGTGACTGCGGGTAAAATATGCGAACATGCCTCCCCAATCTGAAGGAAGGACTGTAGGAAGGTCTATTAAATTGGAAAAAAATCCTTCTTCTGCAGTGGAAACTATTCAAACTTTAAACTTATTAAAATTATTTAGGTGGTACATAATTAGATGGGAATGTTATTATTATTTGGGGTGACATATTTCTAATCATAGCATAGAGCTATTAACTGAGTTGTTTATTTTTTTACAGAATGTATTCTACAGTTATTGGCAATGGAAGGACATTGCAGGAAGACGATGTCATTTGTGGATATCATATTCCAAAAGGAGTAAGTTAATTTGTAAAAATATTATGTAGTGTATGTGTCAAGTCAAGTATAAATTGTAGAATACTAATTGTTATAAAGTTTGCTTTTTGTTTGGTAGAACGCGTTATCTCAGCATACTACTGGTTTGAACTAAAAAGCGTTTCTAAAGATCCCGCTATATTTTACCCTTATACCACAGAATAATAATAAGTACTTCGTACAGAAGATGTTCTTCGCGAATGTATTTAAAAAAAATTATGCTCAATGTCGTAACAATATGGTGTAATTTAGCCTATCTCAAGAGTCGAGCACCATTTTGTTGACAAACGTCAGTGATCGGTACTGCGCCGAAGCCATAGGGCTGACTTCGGTAAAATGATGTGTGACGTGAAGTGCCAAACTGCAGAAAATGGCGGAGGAAATACATGATTAAGCATGAATTATCATGAATAATATTAACTACTTATTTACCTATCAGTCTCTTCAGGCAACTTAAAAAAGTACATTCTGTGTTTTTATTATTATCTAGGCAGTTAAATACTGCACAGTATTTTTTAGTACACCATTTTTTTTATTTTTTTCCATCATACACAAGAATACGCGTGCGTGAGTCAATGCTCGCTCGTATGTGAGGCCTTGTCGAATAGTAATCCTGTAGGGTGCCATCGTGCTTGTTTTGTTTTCTATGTAAACTCGCGGAGATGAACAGGCCTGCTTATACCCTTGTCTTAAGGTTCAAAACAAAATTCTTCCAGGTGCAAGTGGTATTTCCGACCATAGTGACGGGCAACATGGAGCAGTTCGTGGCCGACCCTCAAGAGTTCCGACCGGAGCGGTGGCTGGAGTCCGGCCGGCTGCATCCCTTCGCCTCGCTGCCGTACGGGTTCGGTGCCCGGATATGCCTGGGCAGGCGCTTCGCTGATCTGGAGATACAAGTGCTGTTGGCTAAGGTGGGTTTTAAAAAAGTTTGGTTATTGATGAAGGTTAAATAAACTTACGCGTACCGGAAAACGCAGGGTGGGACTTCCACCCACAAGGTGGACCGACGACATCGTAAAGATAGCAGGAAGGCGGAAAAGGTGGAAAGAAAAAGTGGCTGAGATGATGATGATGAAAAAAAAATTTATCACGACCAAAAAATGTGCTTTTATCTTGACTTATTTGCTTCATATTCAAGTACAGTCTCATCACAACCGGGTTTATAAATCTGTACGTATTTTTTCATTTTTCTCATAATCGAATAATAACAGTGTTATATTGAGTTGAAATGTCGCGTGACGTCAAATTTTGTCATCTAGCCTATTGTTCTCTCACCGCTTCAACGCTCACCATGAGTTTCAATTAGGTGTGCTCGCTAGCGACTGCGTAAAAAAGTGACATTGAATATAATATAAGTATAAGTAATTCTAGAACGCCCCTAGCGGGGCCCCTAGCTTTGCAGAACTATCTTATGTCATTATTACATACTGTAAACCCTGGTTTTCCTAAATAAATAAATAAAATCTTCAAAGATATTTTTGACGCACTCGTTAGCGAGCACATCTAACTTAAATTCATGGTAAGCACATCTAACTTAAATTCATGGTAAGCACACAGTTGGCGCCACCATCTACGCGTCTTACGCCCGTATTCACAAACGATGCTTGCTTAAGTGAATCGGCAAATCGAACGCACAGCGATGAATAGAGCTCTGTGATTGGTTTGTGTGTCATCCTGTGCGTCCACGCGCACTGTGAGACCTCATAGTAATGTTTGTGAATACGGTCGTTAGTCACAAGCAAGTGACAGATCTATGCGCCAGTGGCGTAAACTAGTGAGCGCAATTAACCAAACCCTCATTGTTTTGTTTATTTATCCACAGTTGCTGAGGCGGTACCGGCTTGAATACCACCACGAGCCTTTAGAATACGCTGTCACCTTCATGTACGCGCCCGACGGTCCGCTGCGTCTACGCATGTTGGAGAGAGACGCGTAGATCACTTAGCTAAGGAGAGTCAGGCATAGGGCACTTAGCTAAGCGCGTCAACCAAGCGACGAAGGCAGTGTCACCTTGTTGGTGGAGCATACAAAGTAATTTCGAAGCTTCGATATTTTTTTTCATGATTTCGAAATTCGAGACACGTGTGAGAAAAAAGGCATGTTCACTAATTTAAGAATAGTTTCAAATTAATTTCGTTTCGTTAGAGACGCATAGATCACCAAGCTAAGGAGAATCAGGCATAGGGCACTTAGCTAAGCGCGCCAACCAAGCGACGAAGGCAGTGTCACCTTGTTGGTGGAGCATACAAAGTAATTTCGAAGCTTCGATATTTTTTAATGAGGCACGTGTCAGAAAAAAGGCATGCTCACTAATTTAAGAATAGTTTCAAATTAATTTAATTTGGTTAAAATATGTTGTCACCTTCATGTACGCGCCTAGGGAACTTAGCTAAGTAGCTGCTTCTTCTCAGCACTGGCCCATTTATTGTCCCGAAGCAGTGGTAGGGTTAATATTGGGACGTGTAAAAGCGCCTTTTTAAAGCCTATTTGCAAAAATAAATGAATTTTATGAATTTTAATTTTTTAAGTTGCCTGATATGGACGGATAAAATAATCCGGAAACAACGCTCTCTTTTCAAAGTCCAAGTTTAGAAAATAAGTGAAAAATGAGCCATGTTGAGTTAAAAAGCAACACATTTAATTAGTCCTCGTATACAGACTAAAAACACAAAACAAAAGAGATAATATACGAGAAGCTTTTTTTTAATTACCAGACATGCTTGTTTATTATGAAGCGAAACAGATAACATAAAACGCCACGCCCACTTCTATATAATTTTCGATCTTCTTTTTCTAACTTTGTCGATTTAAGTGGTTTAGAGTAGTGTCGAACGGGCAATTTCGATCGACTATAGATGACCTACATTGAACTGTCCCACCAAATTCATTGAAAGGGGGGCGTCGCTTGCCTCTCTAACTGACGTAACTGACATTTTTCAAAATTTCAGGCGATTAGACAGATCGATTCGTCTTGCGAAATTGATTAAGAAGGTGCAGATAACTCAGTTTCGAAAAAAATGTCAGATTCGTCAGTTAGAGAGGCAAGCGACGAGTTTGCAACAACAAAAATCGGAACCAGCGATCCGGTTTAGACGGTGGCGCCCCCCATGTCAATGTTACGAGTAGGACAGTTCAGTGTATTGGGTCTATAGCTATCATGGCAAGACAATGACACAGTTTAGAATCTGGCCATTCTAACGTGACTTGTCTGCATGATCTGCATCATTATAGCTGACAGTAACTAAAAGTATTGTACGCTTGTATATAGATTCAGTGAGTTAGTTCAACCATAGACAAAATAATTCAGTACAGTAATTTCATAGCTCTAACGTCTTGTGGCCAATAGAAGCTGTTAAAAATATTTGTCAGAGCCTATTGGCCATAAATATTTAGTTCCTCTCATCACTGGCCATTGATAATATAAATAATTATACAAATGCAATGTCAAATTAATGATTAAATTAATAAAATAGACCAATTCGAATTCGCATACGAGTCTGCACCAATCGCATCGGGATTCGTATACGATTCGTGCGATTTCGTATGCGTCTCCAGACTTTAAAATTTAAGGAATGAGTAAATACAACTAATGGTAATAATAGGTAAACAACAGGTATTTTATATGAAACATTAAACCCATCTTGAAGAAAATTATGTTTTCAAGGCGTTAGTTAGTTGTGTTACATTAGAGTTAACGATTAAAATAAATTAACAATTAATCTAATTGTAATGTTATAGCTGCTTCCTAGCTATATTGTAATGCTATTGCCCGTGAGCGCCTACAGACAACACAAGCTCGGAATGTGTATGGTGAGCGAACGACGCAGTACTTGGTTCCGCGACTTATTAACGAACTACCCGCTACTTTAAAAGATAATTTAAATGAAAATAACATTAAGTCCAAGCTAAGGTCGTTTTTTCTGGAACATATTTCATAGCGGAAATGCATTTGCCTAGTATGGGTACGACTTATACGAACAAATTAAACAGTAACCTCTTGGTAAATCGGCTCGACAGGGATGCCTATTGCCTATCTATGAAAATTGTAACTTTTATTATGTTTTTTCTTTGTTTCTTTGTAGAACGCAACTGTTTGATTACTAATTTAATAGACTGACCGCATCAAGCATTGCAAACAAACCTCAGTGGTTTATGCCAATGCATTTAATTGTAATATGTTTAAGAACTTCCTTTGTAAAATGATAATAAATGAAAAAAAAAAAAATTTTTTTCCCTTCTTATTGAAAACTAGCTTTTGCCCGCGGCTTTAATTATAGCCTATGTTATTCTGGATTATAAACATTAATACTGTAAAGTTTTATCAAAATCTTTTCAGTAGTTTTTGCATGAAAGAGTAACAAACATGTTAACATCCAGACATGCATACAAACTTCCGCATTTATAATATTAGTAGGATTTACAATAAGATTGTATGTATGTATTAAAGGTTTTTCCTTTAGGTAGGTACCAGAAAATAATGATCATTCAGTCTCATTTTTGCATCTTTCTCACTAGGTGAGTCTTATGGAATAGCATTTTTTATCCCCATTTACAAAAAAAAAAAGTATTTAAGTATGATTATATCCGTTGTCTAGTACCCATAGTACAAGCTTTGCTTAGTTTGGGACTAGAAGCACAGTGTAAAATGTCCGAGGATATTTATTTATTTCTTCTCGTGGACGACTCAGTAAGTAAGAAGTACAGTCACGGAATGAAAAGGTTCGTCAGTTTTCAAATTGATTCCTTCAATGAATCGCAATCACCTGTTACCTTTTGAAACTATGTTACAGAATAATCTCGAGTTAGAGAAAATAATCTTTAACTGTTCGTCAGTGAACCTTTTCATTCCGCGACTGTAAGTACATAAGGCCTCCCCAACCCGTCTGGCCTGGGTGGGAGTCTACATGAGTGGGCCATTAGGGGCCGTTCAAGTATTACGTAAGCAGAATTCTTACCATTTTTTACCCCCCCGCCCCCCTTGTCATCAAAAGTAAGCAAAGCACTTACCCCCTCCCCCTATGCTTACGTAAACATTTTCAGTTATAAATGTTTTTTATATTGTCATTTTTAAAATAGGAAAATTCATGAAATTCATTAATATTTTCATGAATTTACTCTAGTAAGGGACAAAAAAATATAATCAGAAATAAAGAACATAACAAACATAATTGCATCAATTTATGCATCAACATAAACACAAATTTCATAAAAGAGAACAACATCTTGTGCATGTGCTCGTGTACAGCCAAACTTTTGAACGTTTTGATATCATATATTAATATAATTTGGCATAATGAGTTCGGAATGTTTCTTGCATAATATTACTTTTCCATGATGCCTATAACATAATGTTTTGATTTAAAGCGAAAAATAGGTTAGGGTGCGGCGGGGGTGGCCCTTGGGCCACCCCTAAGCCGCCTATTTAGTTTTATACACACATAAATGACCTCATATTAATCACATTTACCAAATCATGCGGTAATTATTCATAATAACCGGCGATTATTCATAATTTTCACATTTATCACTTTGACCGTAACATATATTTTAAAAGGCCTTTAGATGTAGGAAAATGTCTGCTATGGGGCCAGTTCTAATTCACGTTTTGAAAGCAGTAATTCCACTAAGTATTATAATGAAAGTACAACACAATCATCCATGTATACGAGTATGTATTATGATTACAATCTATTAATATAACTAAAAGAAGCATTGAAAAGGAAAGGATTAGGTATACCTACGATGAACGACCCAAGCTATTAGCCCTTTATTCGCTTTCATCATCATCATCATGATCATTTTAGCCATAGGACGTCCAGTTGAACATAGGCCTCCCCCAATGATTTCCACAATGGCCGGTTGGTGGCGGCCTGCATCCAGCGCCTTCCCGCTACCTTTATGAGGTCGTCTGTCCATCTTGTAGGTGGACTTATTGGGTCTTGTGGGTTTATTCGCTTTAGCAACCCATAATAAAACCCTTAAGAGGTAATAAAACTTTAACCCCTTTATTAATACAAGTTACACCCTAGTTGAACTCTGGCTTAAATTGTCATTTGGTATGGAAATGTCATTTTAATCCAAGGTTTTTCCTAGGTGTAACTTTTTATTAATAAAGGGGTAGTACTTCTTTAAATAAAAATATTTTATTTCACAATTATCACCATCAATAATTATAGAGTTAAGGAAGGATGCTGGAGCAGTAAACCCTTCCTGCCTCGCATAACCTAAGTAGGTACCATATGATGGACAATCATACGTGTCCATTTCTTCTTCTTCTTCTTCCTCGGTCCCTCACTGATGAGGATCGCGACCACAGATAGTGTTCCTCCACAGACTGCGGTCATAAGTTGTGTGGACCGCACGATTCAAACTCCCGCCCACCGTCTTCCTCACCGCGTCCGACCATCTCGTCGGTGCCCTGCCCCGAGCGCGTCCCCTTTCATACTGTATGATACTTAGGTTACACAAAAGTATCTTTATCTTCGAACGCAACCAGATCTGAGGCTGGTGGTCATAGTAAAAGTTGTTCATCTTGGTAAGACCTTTCAAAGGATACTAGACTCATATCTATTGGAGCCGGGTACCATTTTGCCCATTGTCCTTTCAATGGGCAGTGTCGGCACGAGAGTTAATTATTAGACAAGTGAACAGCGCACGGTAATTTCCCTAATGTGCGGTAATTCCCCTAATCAGTTCTCAAAGCGATTTGCGGGAATCCCGGAAAAAACGTAAATAACTAACGATGACGTAATCATCATCTAGACCCCCTACCCCCCATGTCATCCAAAATAAGCAAAACAGAGACCCCCCCACCCCCCCTTGGTGCTTACGTAATACTTGAACGGCCCCTTATCCACATTATCATACTAAAAAAGCAACATGTAAAGTATATACATCATGAAAGTTGCATTCAAGTAGATGTAGGTAGCAAAGGCAGGTAAAGACCACATCGTTAGCAATTTCCACACAGGCGAGTTTCACATTTTCATACTAGTCGTACCAGTTATGTACGTTAGGCGCTTACACGTTTTTTGGTCGCGACTATATGGTTGTAGATAGTAGATATTCCGCGTTTTTTAGATGTGTTTACTATAGGTAATTTATGGGCATTTTATGGCGTTCAGTCAACCTAATGCAGAAAAAAGCTCTATCTAGACTTAATCCAGAGATAGCTTTTAAGCCTCGTTCGTACCTACTAAGTAATCGAGTAATTTAGTATAGTAACTCGCCCCTAGTAACAAAATTACTCGCTACTGACCATTTGGGGGTTCGATTTCCGCTGAGGGCAATCGGGAATAGTATGATGAGAGCACGAGNGCTAGCATGTGACAATTTTATGTAACTGTAATGTATGGATAATTTTAAGTTAATTAATTGTAAATAAAATATGTAT